AATGGGTGGTAAGGGAGGGGGGGATGGGAGGGGGGGGGGGGGGGGGAGAGGGGGGGATGCAAGGCACAAGGAAACATGTTAGGCGATTGTTGAAACACACAGATCAAGTTAGGGACCCAACGAACCTATGCGCGATGCAATGAGTCGCGACGAGATGTAGGATGCGGCTTTTCAGCCTGGTGACGACCCCGGATGTGGCGTCCGTCATCACAGAAGCCCATCGGTCGACATGCCAACAATCCTCTGCAGGTCGAGGACGATCGACGAGAGAAACTGCAGCAGGACGGCGGTCAGCGACGCGGCATCGGTCCTCTCCACCGACAGCAGTGCGACGAACTCAGTAACGACGTGAATGCCGCGGAAGAAGGTGGCGTACAGAATCATGTGTTTGCCGTGGACGCGATCCGTGCTCTCATCAATCGCAATGCTGACGTAGGGGGAAGAGAGAAGGTGCTGAAGCTGCTAGTCTCGCAGGTAGTTCGATATGGCCTTAATTCCCTATTTGAAGCCGTACCTGTAGTACAGGAGCATCATGCACATAAGCGACAGAAGTTAGAATCGTTACAACAAAACAAACAGCGGATCGTGTCATGTGCAAATATAAAGAGCTTTGAGACTTACTCGATGTAGTACATCCCGTACGCCCCTCCCTGCGGCAAGTCAAGCAAACCTCCCGACGCAAGGAAGTAGCATAGGGCATTGTACATGGCGATGGGAGCGTCAGCCTTACAGATGAAGAGGGCAATATGGAAGCACCGTATGAGATGCTTTGTCGAGGAGTCGCTCGTGCGCCACTTGTTAAGCATGCGCTGCTGCTCCTTCTCTCTCTCTCGCTCCTCCTTGGCTTTTAGTGCATTTTTGTGCGCCCGCGTGCCGACATGGATGCGGATGCTTGCCACCTGTAGGTCGCGTGCACTCTCGCCCTTCTTCCCATAGTTGGTGTTGCTAAACGCGTCGCCAAAATGCAAGCACACAGCACACTTTAACGCAGGACGACCATTTTTCATCTGTGTCAATCGCAGCCAAGAAAATCGGCGAGACCAGTCGTCGACAAAACGACGCTTGATTATAGCGTACTCAGCATCAGCGGGGGACGAGGGGTTCAACCCTAAGCTAGGAGTTGGAGGGGGTGGAGTTGGCGCGGGGGCAGGCTTCTTCGGTGGCGATGCCCAGGGCAGAGGACGCTGCGTCCAGTGAGCGGACGCCTTCCGCTTCGTTGATGCGTCGACGGATGACTCCCGCGAGCTGGCAACGGGCTCGAACGTGCCCTCGACATGCTCCAAGTCGAGGTCGGGCATGTCATCGTGCGACGAACAGAGAGGTGACATGGGCTCAAATGGATACTTCTGGTGATGAGGAGGAGAGAGGCGAGAGAGGCGAGCGGGACTAGTAGGCTGCACGTTGGGAATAGTAGGTGGAAACAAAAGGAAAACCCCCATAACACTCAACCCGTTTCTAGGAGGAGGCTCTGTCTGGTCCGTATCGTCGTAGCTGTCCATGGTGCTCTCCCAGAAAGACGACGGGAATAAGATTGGTGAGAAACAGAGATGTGAGGAATATTGAGAGACCCTGCTTGAGCAAGAAAGGGATGAAGCATGTGGGTCTTTCCAGAACGCAGATGATGGGCTCAGAAAGAGAGGGGGGGGCGGCATGCACGCAAGCAGTTTCAATGTTCTGTAGTCGCATCGCATGTTGCTGCCTGCTGGGGTTTCTAGCTGTGTTGTTCGTGGGACCATGGCAGCGCACCACCAAAGCTGCCAAACCGACCAATGAGGTCCCGCCGCAGAGCTAACGAGGTGTGGTCTGAGGTGGAGTCTGCCACAGCGCATATGCCAGTGGGCGGGAAAGCCAGCACGAAAATACCTGTGGCGGGGGGCATGCATCTAATCCCGCGCTCGAAATCCGCCACGAGTCTGGTCCTTGAAGGTTTCTGTATCAGGGTAAATTTAACGTCAGTGTACACAGCTCCGGAACCCGGTTTCTGTACGGGTAAACAATTTCTTACACTTTCTGAATCAGAGTTAAAAAACATCTAGGTCGGATTTTAAGACGACATATAAAAATACCAGGAAAAATCAGCGCAATCAGGGTGTTTCACCCGGCTATTGAGAGGTCTGCTTCAAACCCTTGTCTCAGAGGTTGGACGAGTAGTACTGCCCCGAGTTGCTTCTCTTCTCAGGCACTTCCCCTTCTCCAGTCTAGGAGGTGTCAAACATATTTGTATATGTTACTATAGCATATATAGGGGCATGCCTTAGAGACTGTACCCTGCTTTCTAATTCATTTCTGCCTAAGCAAAAAATCACAAAAGGATGACATATGTGACGTGGGGACACAATAGATTTGACTATATCCATCAGCAAGTTACATGAAACACCCTGCCTCTTTCATGCTTTATTACCATTACCCAAATCTCCCTCCCCCATTCCAAAATGTGCCCTTCAAACCTCTCATCCCATCCATCCACTACTCAAGCCTGCTACAGAGGAAGCAAGCAGCCACTGAAAGGCCACCAGGAACACTATCAGATGCAAGAATCAGCAGGAACACTACCAGGAACTCAGATGCAGAATCAGCAGCACAGTCAGCACCAATTTGCATGGAAGCTCTAGATGGTGGCAGCAGGGACGCAGGTGTTGTTGCCCCTGATGTAGCTGTTGCTGTTGCTGAAGTGAAGCTCCTCAATGCAGGGGCGGAAGTCATACGCCCACGCATACAGAATGTTCACCGTCTCCCCGGGGAACATCTGCACATTGCCAGCGGCCCCGCGGTTCATCCACATCTCGCAGTACCCCGGCAGGGTTTGCCCGAAGATGGGGCCTGTCTGGTACTGCGTGGGGTTGGGCGCGGGGTTCTCCAGGAAGCCGTCCCACAGGGTGCCAAACTCGAAGCAGTTAAACACGACCAGCGGGCTGGTGACGTTGTACGCGCACCCGTTGTAGAACGTCATGTTGAAAATGTAGCTGTGCAGGTCGAACGGCCCCAGGTACTGCGACCGCACCGTCACCGTCGACCCCCCACACGCTGAAAAACAGGGAAGGGGGGAGGGGGAGAGGGGAAGGGGAAGAACAGGGAGGGGGGGTGGGGGGGCGGAGGGGGAGGGTGTAAGGGAAGGGCAGCTTAGTTTTTCCAGGCTTGAAAGACAAAGAAAAAAGGGGGAGAGGGGAAAGGGCAAGAAGAATGCGCAGCTTAGTTTTCCCAGGAATAAGAGTGGTAACTCTGCCCCTGGATAGTGCATGCCGGAGGGTCAGAACTGAAACCCTAAATATTGCATGAGAGGGGTTCAGAAATGATGCTCAGAAATGAAATGGAATGAAGAGTGAGGGCAAAGAGCATGAGGGTAAGGAGAGGGGCAGGGGAGGAGCAGCACTTACTGGTGGCGAGGGCCTTGCGGCGAGGGATGTGGGAGAGGTAGTCCGGCAGTGTGTCGTGGTGAGAGAAGGTCTCAGCGGCCAGAATGCGACCGCCCTTCCTCTGCTGCCCGCCCACGCCCTTGCCTGCCGCCCTTGGGACTATGTCCCTCGCTCCACTCACCGACGCCGCCAGCAGCCCCACCGCCAGCGCTGCCAGCAGCAGCACGCGAGCAAGACACGCCATGAGAGGCGGGACGAGGGGAGGCTCGAGGTGGAGGAGGTGGGAGGAGGAATAAAACGTCCTGAAGAGAGGAGTGGGGAGAAGATGCCACTGAAGCTGATGACTCCATGGCTGCACTCGGTGGTGGCTTTATAGGTGAGGATAAAGGCGTCCAATGGATGATGGAAGGTGCGAGGGGCGAAGTCCCGTGTCTAGGGACGGAGGAAGAGGAGGAGGAGCGAGCACAGCTGCCTTGATCGTGAAGGAGGTGAGCAGTCGGAGACGCATGCTGGCCGCAGTCAGGGACGCAATGCAATGCAACTGTCGCTGGCGATTCCCCTGCTGGCTACACGAATCCCGTCACCAAGACTACCATTCCCCTCTCTGGTATTCAGTCTGAATGCTACTAGGCACGGCCGTTGCACTGTCACATGTCGATTCCTCTGCTGGCTACGGTGCTGGTGACCGATGCGGAAGGATGGCGAGAGATGATGAGAGGTGGTGAGCGGCGGTGAGGGATGCCGAGAGAAGGAAGGCTGGCGGCGATGATTCCATGGCTCGAATCATCAGCGGACATGCCAAGCGTCGGCGATCGAGGTAGTACTGTAAAAGGCACGCTGACATGCTACCGCCGACTATTCAACGCGATTCGATCTGAGGTACTAGCGTCGGCGGCATGATACGTGGGGGACTTGAAACCCGCGGAACGGAAGTGCAAATCTTTGAACGGAGTTGCACAAGCGCCGGCGACGGTTACACGAAACGACGAAAAGCCGTTCTCCCATTCATGGTCACCCTCCCTTGCATCCGCAGGCGCCTGATCTCTCTCTAGAGCGCTGACTCATTCTCGTTTCTCTCCCCTCTCCCTCTAGCGCGCTGACTCGCTCTCGGCGTCAAGCAGGGCGAGCATACACCAGCATACATCTGGTAGGTCGAGCAGCAGCAGCGACGGTTAAACGGCTGTCTGCGAGCCTAACGACATGAACCAGTCGCATCGCGAGCTACATGAACGGTTGGCTTACTGGGATGGCTCCCCCAACCCTAGAGACGGTTAGGATGACGCTGCTCCCGTGTCGCAGCGCACAGATCCATGTCGCTACTTTGGCAAGCCGTCTCTTTCTCTGCCTATCATGTCCTCCCTTCATTCATCCCCTGGGGCCTTCAGAAAGGGAACCCTGCCTGCTGCCTGTGGCTGTTGGTGTTCCGCTGCACACGATAAGTGTAACTCGCTTCGCCTGCGCGAGATCTCTGAGCGAAGACCTGGTTGACGAAATCGATTTCGACTTAGTTGGACAAGGCGTGAATGTCGCGACACAGCTGACAAGGCGTTTGTAACCACGTTCGGGCTTCGATTTGGTGTGTGATCAGCACGATACAGATCAGCCTTTACACTGCATAGAATATGTGCGGGCAATAGAAGTCACCAACCTCCTCTTCTACCTTAAGGCAAAGACCCAGATGTAGGATTGTTACATTATTTAATTCAGTCTACTATGCCTCAACCTGAGAAAGATCAGACACATGGATACCGGGCGTCAAATGCTCACATCCTGGAGCCATTTGGGGCGTCTCAGGAAAGCACCCATCCTTCCATGAGCCAGAAATTGTGAAGAACCCTCTCCTGCTGTACCTTGCCAACTAGAAAAACCCCTAAGACTGGTACCGTTTTCAAAGCACAAAATATTTGATCAGCGAAGAGCATACAGGCCGGAGTCTTACAAGAGCCTCCTCCGGTTTAGAACCTCTCGCCAAACCGGACAAACCACGAGCCGGTGCCCATGTTGCAATCCCGAGCATACTCGGCACGTACGGTGCCGAGCCTGACGCCAGCCCCCACCGAGGCTCCGAAGCCGGCTCGGCGGAAGAACTCAGTAGGGTTACCAGATACTAGGCCGGAGCTCCCGAGGTCAGATGCCATCTCAGCAAAGGCGTAGGCATGGGTGGTCTTGACTGGAACCCGAATCTCACCAGCAAGCTGCGAGGGGATGATGGGAGGAGAGAAGAGAGGGATGAGGGAGAGTGAGACTTAGCACGGCATGGGCAGAAGGGATGATGCGACAAGAAGGGGCGGAGGGAAGGCTGGATGGCAGGAAAAAAAAAAAAGTTCAAGGAGGGGGCAGTCGGAGGTGTTGGGGGAGGAGGGGGGGAGGAGGAGATGGGAAGGAGAAAGGATGAAAGCTGTGATGCACATACATACCCACGCACACACACCCACCCAACCGTGAGGAGTCTATTTTTGAGGCGCCTCAAAGGAGCAAGGATGAAAGCTATGACACACATGGCCACGCACACACACCCACCCAACCATCCACCCACACCCACATCTCCCCCCCCCCCCCCCTCCCCACCCACAAAAACAACAAGTACCAACCTCCAGGAAGCGTCGGGCCGCGCCAATCTCGCCCATGTTGTACCCGCGGACCGAGTACGGCCCGCCCAGCGCATATGCCTCGTAGGAGGGCAGGTCGCCCACACACCCCCCGTAGCGCGCGTGCAGCACGCCCACCATGGGCGGGCGGTCCGAGCGGTCCACGTCCTCCTCGCTGAGCTGCACAAAGCGCGTGTGCGTCACCTGGTGCCGGTTGAAGAAGGGGAAGGCGGAGCCAATCCCTAGGCCCTGGTCCACCTGGGGGTTGTGTGTGGGGGGGGGGGGAGGGGAAGGGATGGAGGAGAAAGGTTGGATCGGTTGAACAAGGGGAAGGCTGACCCGATGCCCAGGCCCTGGTCCACCTGGTGATTCACGGAAGGATGGGAGGAGATGGGGGTGCATGGGGGTTGACACCGTCAGCTGCACAAACCGCAGGTTTGTCACCTGGTGCTGGTTGAAGAACAGGAAGGCGATGTGCTGGTCGTCATGTCCTGGTGCTGGTCGACATGAGGATTTGGAGGAAATGGGGGGAAGGGGGAGGTGCGGGGAGATTGGTGCGATTCGGGGCGATGCAAATGGAGGTCTGCATTCCCTGCCTTGCATTTGCATCAGCTCACCATCACCCACCCCTCACCTGAAAGATGGTGCGATCGCCGACAGGGGTCCCATTAACGAAGTTGGTGTTGTCGCACGTCACGTTGGCCTGCAGGAATCACCTTCACTCGCCAATCCACTAGACCTTTCAATCCTCACCTGGAAGATGGTGCGATCGCCGACGGGGGTGCCGTTGACGAAGTTGGTGTTGTCGCGCGTCACATTGGCCTGCAGGAACGCCACGCGGTCCACACCCGTGCCGCTCAGCGTGGTGGGCGGGCCGTCGGGGGTGGGCAGCCCGGACGGCAGCACCTTGAAGCCATGCGTGCAGATGCTCGTGTTCTCATCGCGAGTTGTCACCTCCTCAATTACTGCTCCGTAGGTGATGCGGCTCTGGCGGGTGAAGTTCTGTTAGGAGGCGGAAGTGAGGAGATAGAGGAAAGAAGGTGAGCAGGCTTGAGGCCAGCACCTTGGAGCTGTGCGTGCAGATGCTCGTGTCCTCGTCGCGCGTGGTGACTTCTTCGATCACGACCCCGTACGTGATGCGGCTCTGACGGGTGAAGTTCTTTTTTGGAGAGAAAAAGAGGGGGGGGGGGGGGGGTGGAGAGGGAGGAGAGAAGGAAGGAAAAGGCTGGGCAGGCCGGAGGGCAGCACCTTGAAGCCGTGCGCGAGGACACCTTCGTGCTCTCATCAGGATTCACGAGTGCTGGTTGAATCAGGTGACCCAAGCATTTCAGTTGCATTTCAGTTGCCTTTCAGTTGCATTTCAGTTGCCTTTCAGTTGCCTTTCAGTTGCATTTCAGTTGGCTTTCAATTGCATTTCAGTTGCATTTCAGTTGCATTTCAGTTGCATTTCAGTTGCCTTCTCACTGCTCTTCTCACTGCTCTTCACCATTTTTACCATTTGTTTCCCAGATTTCCGTCCCGAGGCACTGCTCTCCACCCTTTCACACCCCACACCTCACCTCACTAACGGTGGCCTTGATGCCCGCCCGGTCCACCCAGATGGCCGGCACCTCATCCAGGGACGGCCCGCCCGTGAAGACAGCCGACACCTTGCGGTGGTTGAAGCACGTCACACGGCCCACCCGGTTGCGCGACGTGTCATCAACGCCGTCGATGTACGGATGCACGTACTCCAGCTTGAACACCAGGTCGTCCTGTGGATAGCGTGGAAAGGAGTGGGTTTAAGAGGGAACACATTGGCCACTCAGCCGGCCCAGTTGTGAGACGTGTCATCATCTCCGTCGATGTACGGACGCACGTACTCGAGCTTCAACACCAGGTCGCCCTGAGAGCAGGGGTTGCGGGAGTGAGGTTAAAAGGGAAAGTCGTTGGTCACTCCGCCCACTTGGTTGCAATCTGCAAACCGTGCCATCCACCACTTCAATGTACGGATGCACGTACTCCAGCTCGAACACCAGGTCGTCCTGTAGACGGGAGGGGAGGGAGTGGGATTAAGAGGAGCAGACAGTTGTGTCAGACGGTGCCTGAGGAAGGCAGTACCTTGGGAAGGCAGTACATGGGGACTCGCCTAAACACATACATAAAAGGAAAACAGTCAAGCATTACTGATACAGCACCTGGGGAAGGCTGTACCTGGGGCGAGAGCAGGTTGCCCGCGCTGACGGAGCCAGTGACGGAGCGATTGAGGCCGTTGATGTTGCGATGCTCGAATGACACGCTGCCACCTGGCAGGATGGACACCTGTCGTTGAATGAATGCCACAGAGATGAGGAGGGGGAAAGGCGGGTTGGAGGGGGTCATGAGGGGAACACGGTGAAAGGGATGGAGGGGGAGGAGTTGACAGAGAGGAGGGGGGTGCACGAAAAAGGGGAGAGGAGAGGAGAGGAGAGGAGAGTGCCGAGCAGGGGAAGGTGGTGTGTGCACGAAAAAGGGCAGCGGTGGGAGTTGGCCAGAAGAAGACAGAGGGGTGAAGCCAGTCAGCTGCGCTCGACATGCGCGGCACTCTCCAAAAGTGTCACACATCCCTCATAGCTTACAGAGCGGAGATTTTTTAGTCGACTAAAAAAAACATCCTGGGTTGCCTCAAAGCTAACAGCGCGGACTTGCCAGTGCCTCCAGGGAATTTTTGCAGGGTATTTTTGAGAATTCTAAAAAATACCCTGCAATTCCTTTGAGAATTCTCGAAAATACCCTGCATTTTTTTTAGAATTCTAAAAAATGCCCGTGCCTCCAGGGAAAACTGCTCCGCTCTGTCTGCGCCTCAGCAGACGTCAGTTCCTGCTGACGTCCATCAGCAGACGTCAGTTCCTTCCTGCTCGTTGTTTAAACATCCGTGAACCTTAACCTCCATCACTATGCCGCCCTCCAGCTGACTGCAAACCCCACACCACACCCACCCCAAAGCCCCCAAACTCACAGTGAACTTGTCAGTGTTGCCGGGTTGGATGCTCCACCGCTCGGTCTGCACCTCGGCGGACGTGGGCTCCTGCTCCCCACCTCCACCTCCATCTCTATGCCTTCAGAGAACGCTACTGCCCCACCCACTACCCCCCAACCGCCTCCCTGCAGCTCACCGTGGGCTTGCCAGTGTCGCCGGGTTGGATGCTCCACTCCGTCTGCACCTCGGCGGACGTGGGCTCCTGCTCGCGGACCTTCACCTCCATCACTATGCCGCCCTCCAGCTGGTCGTCGGGCCGCGGGTTGACCTCCATATTGGCGAATAGCTGCAGGGACGAGATGCTCTGCAGGGCCTTCCTTCCAGCTTCAATGTTGAACACGTTGCCGGGCTTGATCTGCATGGAAAGGAAGAAGGGGGAGCGGGGGCGATAGGGGAGGTTGGAGAAAGGGGATGTTTGGTGGCCCTCCAGCTGGTCGTCGGGCCGCGGGTTGACCTCCATGTTGGAGAACAGCCGCAGCGACGAGATGCTCTGCAGGGCCTTGCGCCCCGCCTCAATGTTGAATCCGTTGTCAGGCTTGATCTGGTGGGGCGAAACGGGAGATGGGGAGGGAGGGAGGGAGGGAGGGAGGGAGGGAGGGAGGGAGGGAGGGAGGGAGGGAGGGAGGGAGGGAGGGAGGGAGGGAGGGAGGGAGGGAGGGAGGGAGGGAGGGAGGGAGGGAGGGAGGGAGGGAGGGAGGGAGGGAGGGAGGGAGGGAGGGAGGGAGGGAGGGAGCGAGGGAGGGAGGGAGGGAGGGAGGGAGGGAGGGAGGGAGGGAGGGAGAGAGGGAGGGAGGGAGGGAGGGAGGGAGAGAGGGAGGGAGGGAGGGAGGGAGAGAGGGAGGGAGGGACAGCAAGGAAGCACAGGTGCTGGTTTGCCTTTGTACAGAAACACGGCTGCAGCAGCTGGGCCTTGAGGTTGTGGCTGCAAACTGATGGTACTGGTGATGCTCAGATGCTCGAGTTCGGCATCAGCAATAGCGTCTCGAAAACTGCCACAGCAAGCCCATTCACCGATCTCACGTTCCACAGCCTGCTCTCGTCCGTCATGCCCTCGCAGCTCTCACTTCCTCCCCTCATCGCCCTCATCACACACCCACACCAGGTGGGCCACACACACATGCGGATGGGCAGCTCCCTGAGCACCACCCGCTCGTCCGTCATGCCCTCACAGCTTTCACTTCCCCTGTCAGCCCTCTTTAACCATCTCACGTCACACACTCACCCCCAACAGTCCACTCACCCCCAACACTCCACTCACCCGCTCGTCCGTCATGCCTTCCCTGTGCTGCCATCCCCTCATGGCCCTCTCTATCCCTCCATCCCACTCAAATCTTCGCCTCTCACGCCCTCCAGTCCACCACCCACACTCACCTCGATGGGCAGCTCCCTCAGCACGACGCGCTCGCCCAACATCCCATCGCAGCGTTGCCATCCCCTCATCGCCCTAGCCCTCTCTATCCCTCCATCCGACTCAAAAATTCGCCACACCCACTCCAGTCCACCACCCACACTCACCTCGATGGGCAGCTCCCTCAGCACGACGCGCTCGTCCGTCATGCCCTCGCAGCGCTGCCCCATCTTGTCGAGGAACTGCACCTCCACGCCCGTCACGTCGCCCTCCACCACCTCGCACACGATGTCGGGCGTGTTCAGGTTGCCAAAGTTGATCACCTGAGAGAGGCGGAACGGGGGAAAGGCGGGAGGGACGGGGAAAGGAGGGAGGAAAGGGGGAAAGGGGCGGGAGGAAAGGGGGAAAGGCGGGAGGAAAGGGGGAAAGGCGGGAGGAAAGGGGGAAAGGCGGGAGGGACGGGGAAAGGAGGGAGGGACGGGAAGCGAGGAGGAGGAGGGAGGGGAAGCGAGGAGGAGGGAGGGAAGGGAAGCGAGGAGGGAGGGAGGGGAAGCGAGGAGGGGGGTTGGTATACCTCGCTTATCCCAATTATATCCCCCGATCTTCGTTACGCGTTCACTCCCTCTCTCCACCCCTCTCCCCCGCACTCACGAGCACGCTCAGACACACAGACTCACGTTGGCGCAGGCGTAGCCCTTGTCATGGTACCACTTCAGAATGCGGTCCCTAATCTTCTGCAGCATGCGCGCGGTGAGGCGCCCCTCGCGCTGCACCATGGCGCTGAGCTCGTTCTCCACCTTGCGCGGCAGCAGGCACTGCCGCGACTGCCTCAGCCGCTCCGCATACGCCGCCTCCTGCTTCGCCGGGTCCTCCGACGCCTCCTGCCCGCCCGCGTCTGGCTGCACCAGCCCCATGTTCACGCACCGAACCGTCTTCGCCGCCTGCCACTGCGCCTCCAGCACCTTCACCTCCAGCTGAGATCGGTACATCGAGAGCAGGGTTGTGTGTGTTGAAGGGGGGGGGGGGGGGGGGAGGGAGGAGGGAGGACGGGGTGGGGAGAGGTGGGGGCAGGGGGAGAGGAACGACAGGGGTCAGCAATGGTAGCAAGAGCGCCTGCCTCAGGCGCGCAGCATACGCTGCCTCGTGCCTGGCCTGGTCCCCACGCAGTCTCCTGCCCGCCCGCGTCCGGCTGCACCAGCCCCATGTTGACGCATCTCACCCCATAGCGCTTCTCAGCCGGGGCAACATCCTCTTGGCACGATCCGCCGGAGCACTAAAAACGTGTGGGTGGGTGGGTGAGTATGCTGTGGCCGTGTGGTTTTCGTGTTCTGCTGTACCTGCGTCCGTTCGTCCGGCCATCCTCGCATCTGTTCCACGCTGTGTTTGGATTTCTCTTCTCCGCCCTTATCCTCCTCATCCCCGTTATAAGCCCGCCCATTACACGCCCCTTAGACCCATCCGGGTTGGCAACGCTATCCGCCTGCACCATCTGAAACATGCCACTGCCTATTTTTTAGGCGCCTCAAAAATAGACTCCTGCACCATCTCAAACATGCCACTGCACGCCATCTTCTGCACCTCCCCTTTCAGTTCTAACTTCCACCTAGCTTATCCCCTCCCCGTTATACAGCCACCTTCTTACACGCACCTTGATAGACCCGTCGGGATTAGCGACGGTGTCGGCCTCGACCATCTGGAACATGCCGCTGGACGCCATGTTCTGCACCTCGGCCTCGAGCTGCGCGCGCGTGCACACGGAGCCCTTGGCGACGGACACCATCTCGTAGAAGCCGTCCGCCTTGGGGATGACGCGGTCGCTGCGCTGGTCCACCAGGTCCACCTCCGCCACGCGGTACCGCTTCGTCGTGCTCAGCTTGTCCACCGCCACGCGCGTGCCCGCCTGGGGGGAGGGGGATGGGGGGACGAATGGACAACGGGCAACGGGAAGAGGGGAAGAGGGTTGGATGAGAGGACAAGAGAATTCGTCGTGCTTCGCTTGGCCACGGAGACCTGCGTGCCCACCTGGGGGGGGGAGGGGGGGGGGGGGGGAGATTGGGAGGTGGACACGACGAGGGGAAAGAGGGAACGATAAGGGGACGACGGACTTGGACGTGCCACGCGCGTGCCCGCCTGGGGTGTTGAGACGAAGATAGAAAAGCGCGAAAGACGGTTACGAGCTCGTCGCGCCACGCACCAGTCTATACTCGCGTGCCGTGATCATCGGAACAATCCGTACCCGCATGCCGTGGGGGTCGGAACGATACGTACCCGCAGCCGTGAGGGTCGGAACGATACGTACCCGTATGCCGTGAGAGTCGGAACAATACATACCCGCATGCCGTGGGGGTCGAACTCCTCCGCTTTAGCCGCAACGGCCGCCGTTTTCTTCTCCTTCTCCTTCTTCGCCTTCTCCTCCGCCTCCTTCTTTCCCGCCGCCTCCTTCGCCTTCGCACCCCCCTCCTCCTCCTCTTCCTCCTCCTCCTCTTCCTCCTCTTCGTCGTCCGACTCCTCCTCGTCGTCGCTCTCCTCCTCGTCCTCTGATTCCGACTCCTCATCATCCTCCGCAGCTACAGCCGCATCCCACTCCCACCAATTCCGCTTCCCCCCGCCTCGCCCCTTCCCCCCTCCGCCACCCCCTCCGCCTCCCCCGCCACCGCCGCTGCCGCCTCCCCCGCCGCCTCCCCCGCCTCCTATAACACTGGTCAGAATATTAAGACCATCTTGTCGCATTAAGAAGCAACCAATGCCGCTGCCGGCTGCTAGCCCTGCGCCGGTTAATGCGGCTTTCCTGACCCATCCGGAGTCTCCGGAGGAGGTTATTCGGCTCCGATTATGGCTGCCGTTGCTGCTGAGGGCGACGATCTGAAAGGGCCGGCGTCTGGATGAGGAGCGAGAGGAGGCAGGGTGCGGCGGAGGAGTGTGGAGAGCGGCTGGTTGCGATTGAGAGCCCGATGCGGCCTCCAGGGGATGTGTCACGACCAGCGATCTGGTCGGGAGAGATGTATGCATCGCCGGGTGAATGCATGGGGAAGAATGGGAATGGAGTGTTGAGTGAGCCGAGAGCGATCGGACGACGAAGATAAGGAAGCGTATTCTGGAAGCAAAATGCAGCGCCTATTTTGAAGGAAGAACAAACTAGAGGGAGGGAGAGGAAAACCGTAAGGCACTAAGGTGGTTCTACGCGCACGGAAACGGGATTAAGCGAATCGGAACCCTATTTACGAAATCGACAGTAAAACACCACGACTTAAATAAAAGATAGGGCGTACTTGACACTCGCATAGCTAGCAGCGACGGTGCCAGCTGCTGTCGCCATTGTCCTCTGGCGAGGGTCACGGAAGCGTGTGAATGCTCCTTCTGTTAACCAGTCAACTTAATGAGAGCAAGGTAGAAAATATTCAAGCACTGCTGGTTAGGGTTTCACTGGCTAGAGATGCCGTGGGGATAGTGGAATTAGAGACCACCCACGGCGACCAGGCTTCGTGCGATCACTAGCTTGGTCGACTTCTGACCAGAAAGGAGGGAGAAAAAGAAACAGCAAGAGAAGGAAAGGAAAGGTGATGGCTGGGGGGAAACCAACAGATTGGGAGAGATGGCACGGATGCGAACATCAGCGACTAGCGTGTGAGGTAACCACGTTCGGAGGGCCGGAGGCTGGCTGACTGGGACTGAAGTCCTCGTCAGCAGCCAACGGATTGTAGCGAAATGTTCATTCGGGTTTTGGGTTTGCTAGGGGATTGACGCGGATGATCCCAAAGCTCATCATTCTGCCACCTGGACAATATGCCAAGTGGAGACGCATTCGCCTACTGTGGGTTAACCCCATTTCACCTTAAAGCCAGGGACCCAAGTTTCTAGAACCTGGGGCAAGTGTTTTAAAGCTGGTTGGGAAAAGCAGGTTTTGTGTCATAAGGGCGCGTGAATTGCAAAAATCGCAAGCGATTTGACTGGTGCCCACAGCTCGCCGGCCAATCAGTAGTTTTAGTCCCAACCAAGTGTTTTACAGTTGGTAAACTTGGGTCCCTGGCTTTAACTTGCACCTTTAACCCTTCATTTTACTAGTTATAAGTGTTTGGAATACTATAAAAAATGAATGAATGAACAAGACACATTAAGCATGCCAACTACTCCTCTCATGCCATAGCTACCTCTAGTAACTCTACACTATCGAAGATTGGAGCACTCGCGCCTTCGATATAGCCCACGTCGTGTTCGAGTGTGTGTATGTGAGCCGACAAAGAGCGAGTTTATTGGGGAAGATAGCAGGTTATTCCTCCTCGAGTCAAGGCAATATGGATGCTCCACTTCCGAAGACTGCTCACTCTCATCGCTGCTCTTCACCGCTCCGTACCACTCATGGACCAAGCAGCCTCGCGGCCCAGCCACATCCACACCTGAACCTCTTATTGGGGGACACGGCAACGACGATGCCTGTGGCACCACTACATTTCTCTCCTGCAACGGCCAGGCAGTTGTTTTTGTTGCCATCACCTCCGCCGCCACCACCGCTGCTGCTGCTGAAAATGGTGCTGCCAGTGCTGCTGCTGCAGCACCTGCAGCACCTGGAGCACCTGGAGCACCCCCTCCCTGCACAGCTTCTGCTTCACGCATGAACCTGGTGAACCCAGGAGGTGGCCTGTGGCCCCTCACACCCCTGAAACCCCTGCTTCGTGGAGCCTCAAAGGACGGCCCATGACCCTTGGAAGCATTTCCCCGAGGACCTCTGGACGTGGACTTGCTCATGGGGAAGCTCCTGCTGCCGCCTGTCAGCCACCCACCAGAACACCTGCCGCCTCCACCCACTGAACCATTATGGTCGTTTTGCCGCATCCACGTGCCAACCTGGCTGTCAGACAGGCAGTTGCTGCTGGGTTGGTGGGAGAAAGAAGTGTTAGGAGGGGCTGGTACCCATGCTGCTTCCAGAGCTGCTGCTTTCTTTGAGGACGCCCGCAGCCACTCGTACATCGCCACTTGGCGCACCACCGCGTAGTCCGACTCCTCGTCCTCGCTATTGAGCTCCTTGGCTTCGTTTTTGTAGTCGGCCCCACCTAGCAGTGAATGCTCCGCTATCTCCTTAAAGCGAGACTGCCCTCCAGCACTCCACGCCCTGCTGCCATGCTCTGCATGCTCTTCAGACGGGTGAGCCGCAAGCATGCGTGCATGGCTCACCTCCCATCCCTGCATGCGGCTGTCAGCCATGAATCGGTCCTCCTCCCTCATCTCCCCTTCCTCATCCACCAACAAATGCCCCAATCGTACCTGCCTCCCCTCCCACTCTTGCCCCTGCCCCTGCTTCTCCTGCACCTGCCCCTGCTGCTCCTGCTGCTGCTGCTGCTGCAGCTGCCACGCCCTGCCCCTTCCAGCAGCACCAGACGCCGCCCATGGCACACACACCCCGGATCCTCCACCCTCACCCCTCATGCAACACCCTGAATCCCCACCACGGCAGCTCTTGCCCCTATCGGACCAGCACGCACCGCCGCTGCTCTCCTCCCTGCCACAGCCGTTCTTGCCCCTATCGGACCAGCACGCACCGCCGCTGCTCTCCCCCCAGACACGGCAGCAGCTCCAATCCAGGCGCCTGGTACCCCGAGCTACTCTCTCCACGTCCCTGCCATAGCTGCTGACACCGCTGCTGTTGCTATCCCCGCCGGCCCCTGCACCACACATTACCAATGCCCCCCTGCTGTTCCTGCCAGGGCAGCTCCAGCGCCGAAGCTCCGCCCCGTAGCTTGGGGAGCTGTTTCCCCTGCTGGCATCGCACCTGGAACCCCCCTTGCATCCCCCCTCCTCCCCTCTCACATCCACCCCTCTCATCTGCTCCCTTCTCACGCCTTCCCCAACCCCTCTCACCTGCCGCCAACCTTGCACGAAGCCCATCTGCTTGCCCCTACCATCATCCTCTGAAGCTGAGTAGCTCTTGCTAGAGCCACCAGCCCTGCCACAGCTACGGTGACAGTCACAGTTGTAGCCTCTGCTACAGTCACAGCAGCCACAGCTGGAATCACAGTCATCATAGCGGGAGTACCGGTTACAGTCACAGCCAGGGTGGGAGCCAAAGGCACCACCACAGTCACAGTAGCTGTTAGAGTAACAATCACTGTTACCGTCACAGTCGAAGGAAGGGTGATCAAAATGACGGTTTGGTTGATGGGCCAGCAGGAGCTCTGTTGGGCGGTGGGAGGATGGAGAAAGGAAATCCTTGCTATCCCTGACGTGGCGCCTGCAGCTGACTTGGCGCCTGCTACTGACAAAGCACCCTCTGCTGACGTGGCACTTGGTGTAGCTGCACATATCCTCAGGGCCCATGCCACGCCGACCCCTGTCGGAACGTGCCAACGTATAGTCCATGCCATGCGGGCCCTTGACACGGCAGCAACCCATGTCGCAGCAGGCACTGCCACCCTCGCCCGTGCAGTCAGTGGCATGGCGGCTAGCACGGCTCTCCCCGTCCTCCCTGCGCCACGCGTTCGCTCTCCTGCCCCCCTCAACGCCGGGACCATTACCATGTCTCGGAAGAGCGTTCACTCGCTCCAGAACGACCGCTGACATGGCAGACTGGCGTTCCCTCTCTCCAGAACGGCTGTAGCAACCAGGGGCAGCCCTTGCCGTCTGATCCCCTCCGAACGCACCCTCTTCACAAGCTTCATTAGTAACATACCGCTCCTCTTCTGTATAAGTCTCTTCTGCTCCCTCAGGCGCCTCTCCTTCTGCATACTCCTGGACTTCTGCGTACACTTCCTTTCCTGTCCACCTCTCTGCCTCTGAATGCCCCTCCTCTTCTGAATACCCCTCCTCTTCTGAATACCCCTCCTCTTTTGAATACCCCTCCTCTTTTGAATACCCCTCCTCTTCTGAATACCCCTCCTCTTTTGAATACCCCTCCTCTTCTGAATACCCCTCCTCTTCTGAATACCCCTTCTCTTCTGAATACCCCTCCCCATCTGTCCACTCTTCTTGCCAGCTAAATTGCTCCCCGTCGATATACCCCTCCCCTTCCATACACCCCTCCCCATCCATACACCCCTCCCCATCCATACACCCCTCCCCATCCATACACCCCTCCCCATCCATACACCCCCCTCTAACATCATCAGGAAAGCGCATCCCTTTAGACCCCCCATCGCCTGTCAACCTGGCCCCTCCATCCCAGCTTCCCAGCTCATCCGAATCACAACCCCGATTGCGCATCCGGTCCAAAAGGTGGGGCGCGTTCCTCAGCTCATGCAGCCTCAACAGCAGATTCTGCACTCTAGCAGACATGTTCTGCCTCACAGACATGTTTCGAGTTGCTGTTGCCATGCAACGCGCACCCACTGTGCGGATCCGCTCCTGCAACAAGACTTGGGACGCCTCAGAAGGCTGCACCCTCAAGGACATGCTGTGAGCTGACTCGGATCGGGCGTCCACCTGCTCACTCCTCTTCACTGCCTGCATCCTCAGCGCGGTCGCCATCGGCGCGTCAAACGTTGGCACGTGCGGCGGCGGGGCCCTCGCTTCCTGACCTGGCTCAGGCAGCTCCTGAGCCTGTGCCTGAGCCTGAGCCTGTGCCTGTGCCTGTGCCTGTGCCTGTGCCTGTGCCTGAGCCTGAGCCTCGGAATCATCGGAATCCTCCGAGTCCTCGGAATGCTCCGCCTGCTTCTCACTCGTCCTCACCTCATGTATCTCCTGCATTTTCCTCGCCCCGTGCAGCTGCAGTAGCTGCTGTATCTTCTCTAGGTTGGACCCAATAGAAGCAGACGGTGCTGAAGAATCTTTTAGATGCCTCAAAAGTATCTCTTGCTGTTTCTGCACCTGCAGCAGCTGCTGTCTATTCTGCAGCTGCTTCTGCTGCTGCAGGTTGGACCCGATGGGATCAGGCAGGGCTGTAGGAATGGAGGAGAGCATGTTCGGTGCTGATTCTGACGTGTCTGAGCCATGTTCTGACGTGTCACTGCCGCTGCTGTCCAGGCTGTATCGCAACCGCCTCAGGCTACAACCGCTACAGTGTTCTTGGCTGTAGCCAGGGGTGGTGGCCTTATGGTTACTATTGCTACTGCTGCTACAGCTACTTCCTGTGTTGCATCTCAATGGGCCAGTGCTACAGCTGCTGCTACAGCTGCTCCCTGTGTTGCACCCCAAGAGCTTCCGGCCTTTCTCTTGACCACACATATAGCCTCCCCCGCTGCTGCTTCTGCTGCCGCTGCCGCTGCCGCCGCTGCTGCTGCTACAAGTGCTCTCTGTGCTGCATTGTAACGGATTAGAGCCACTAACCTCGCCATACAAGTAGCTCTTCTCATTCCTGCGCCTGCTGCTGCTCCTTCTCCTGCTGCTGCTGCTGCTGTTGCTGCTGTTGCTGCTGCAGCAGCAGCGCACTGCAAAAGCCGTTACCCCGCTCATTCTCACATGGCTGTGGTCTGCTTCGTGTGAGGGCCCTTTTACATCGCCGCCCCACCTGTGCCCCCCCCCGCTGATGCTGGAACAGCCTGTGCTGCCTGTGCTGCCTGTGCTGCCTGTGCTGCCTGTGCTCTTGCTCTTGCATCGGTTGCGCCACTGTGACCCACCCTGCAGCCGCTTTGCCACAATCCGTGAGATTGCGTGCTGTTGCTGCTGTTGCTGCTGCTCGTGGTGGTATTGGTGCTGGAAGCCATGCTGGTGCTGTTGCTGGTGCTGCTGTTGCTGCTGCTGCTGGTGCTGGTGCTGTTGCTGCTGCTGCTGGTGCTGCTGCTGTTGCTGCTGCTGTTGCTGCTGCTGACGTTGCTGCTGCTGTTGCTGTTGCTGCTGCTGCTGCTGCTGCTGCTGTTGCCCCGTAAGCTCATATTCGTCCCCCTTCCACCCGTTCTCTCCCTTTTCCCACCTGCCGACTCTTTCCGGTACCTCTCCCCCTCGCTCCTCCCACCCATTCTCTCCCTCCTCCCACCCTTCCTCTACCTCCTCCTCTCCCTCCTCCCACTCTTCCTCTCCCTCCTCCCACCCTTCCTCTCCCTCCTCCCGCCCTTCCTCTCCCTCCTCCCACCCTTCCTCTCCCTCCTCCCACCCTTCCTCTCCCTCCTCCCACCCTTCCTCTCCCTCCTCCCACCCTTCCTCTCCCTCCTCCCACCCTTCCACTCGCTCCTCCCACCCACTCTCACACTCCTCCCGCCCTTCGTAACCTTCCCGATCCTCTTTCGCTCCCTCCTCTTCCCAACCATTCTCTTCCTTCTCTGATCCATCGTCTTTCTCCTGCTCTCCATTTTCTCCCCCCTCCTCCCACCCACTCTCTCCCTCCTCCCATCCAGCTCTCTCCCCCCACCCATTCTCCTCGGCCTCTTTCTCTCTCACAAACTCCTCTCTCAGCTCCTGCTTCCTTTCTTGAGTCGACTCAAGAGTCATCCCCCACCCATTCTCCTCGGCCTCTTTCTCTCTCACAAACTCCTCTCTCAGCTCCTGCTTCCTTTCTTGAGTCGACTCAAGAGTCATCCCCCACCCATTCTCCTCGGCCTCTTTCTCTCTCACAAACTCCTCTCTCAGCTCCTGCTTCCTTTCTTGAGTCGACTCAAGAGTCATCCCCCACCCATTCTCCTCGGCCTCTTTCTCTCTCACAAACTCCTCTCTCAGCTCCTGCTTCCTTTCTTGAGTCGACTCAAGAGTCATCCCCCACCCATTCTCCTCGGCCTCTTTCTCTCTCACAAACTCCTCTCTCAGCTCCTGCTTCCTTTCTTGAGTCGACTCAAGAGTCATCCCCCACCCATTCTCCTCGGCCTCTTTCTCTCTCACAAACTCCTCTCTCAGCTCCTGCTTCCTTTCTTGAGTCGACTCAAGAGTCATCCCCCACCCATTCTCCTCGGCCTCTTTCTCTCTCACAAACTCCTCTCTCAGCTCCTGCTTCCTTTCTTGAGTCGACTCAAGAGTCATCCCCCACCCATTCTCCTCGGCCTCTTTCTCTCTCACAAACTCCTCTCTCAGCTCCTGCTTCCTTTCTTGAGTCGACTCAAGAGTCATCCCCCACCCATTCTCCTCGGCCTCTTTCTCTCTCACAAACTCCTCTCTCAGCTCCTGCTTCCTTTCTTGAGTCGACTCAAGAGTCATCCCCCACCCATTCTCCTCGGCCTCTTTCTCTCTCACAAACTCCTCTCTCAGCTCCTGCTTCCTTTCTTGAGTCGACTCAAGAGTCATCCCCCACCCATTCTCCTCGGCCTCTTTCTCTCTCACAAACTCCTCTCTCAGCTCCTGCTCCCTCTCCCACTCTCGCCGTGCCTCGTCCTCTTCCCCCATCTCCCACTCCTCCCCATCCTCCACCTCCTCTTCACCCAGTCCCCACCACCTCTCCTCTTCCTGCTCTTCCTCATGTTGTTTCTCATCATTTTGCTTCTCCTCTTCATCCTCCTCTTCCCTCTCCTCTTCCTCCTCCTCTTCCTCCCCCTCGTCCTCCTCCTCTTCCTCCTCCTCTTCCTCCTCCTCTTCCTCCTCCTCTTCCTCCTCCTCTTCCTCCTCCTCTTCCTCCTCCTCTTCCCCCTCCTCCTCATCCACTCCCCATTCCTCCCCTTCTTTGCCCCCCTCCGCACGGTCTGTCCCTGACCCCTCCTCACATCCCTCGTTTCGATCACCCTCCGGAATGATTTCCTCCTCCTCACTCTCCTCGCATTTTCCCCTTCCCTCCACTGCACTTTCCACGCATCTTCCACTTCCCTCCACTGCACTCTCCACGCAACTTCCCCTTCCCTCCTCTTCACCCTCCATGCCGCCCCCTTCTCCCTCCTCCGCACCACCTCCACCTGTACCACATGACCCCACACCAGATACCCTCGTGACAGATCCACCTGCCCTGGGCATGCCTGAATGAGATGCGCCTGCAGCAGAATCGCCTGCAGCAGCAGCAGCATCGCCTGCAGCAGCAGCAGCATTAGCATCAGCAGCAGCAGCAGCAGCAGCATTATCAGCAGCAGCAGCGGCAGCATTATCGCCACCTATATGCTTGTTTTGAGGCCCGCCCTCAGAATCCATCCCCTTCACGGTCCCCACCCTTCCCGTCTGCTCATTTGCTCGTCGCCCCAGAGATAGAGGGGCGATTCCCAGCCTCCCCATCTGTTCCCTCACTGCTCGCTGCATCGCTGGTGCCCTTTCCACAGTGGCTCCAAGTGCGGTATTCCCGAGGGAGATGCTTCCAAGTGCGGTATTCCCGAGGGAGATGCTTCCAAGTGCGGTATTCCCAAGGTCGTTCTTGGTGGTGCCCTCAAGGGCGGTTCCAGTGGCGTGCAGGCAGGCTTGCAGGAAAGCAGAGGCGCGTTGATGGAGGAGAGGCGAGGTGAGGATGTCCCGCGCACTTGGACGGCCCGACGGGTCCTGAGGAATCCATTGGATGGGCGATTGGGAGTTGCATTGGGGGAACAGGGGGGGGGGGGGGGGTGGATGGGTGGATGGGGATAGAGGTGGGAAAGGAGCGCAGGAAGACAGGAGTGCGTTGATGGGGGAACGGTGAGGTGAGAACGCCTGGTGCACTGGGTCGGTCAGAAGGGATCTGGGGGGAGTATGGGGAAAAGGGGGAGTATGGGGAAAAGGGGGAGTATGGGGAAAAGGGGGAGTATGGGGAAAAGGGGGAGTATGGGGAAAAGGGGGAGTATGGGGAAAAGGGGGAGTATGGGGAAAAGGGGGAGTATGGGGAAAAGGGGGAGTATGGGGAAAAGGGGGAGTATGGGGAAAAGGGGGATGCATTGGGGGAGGAGGGGGTTGGATGAAGAACACGCAGGCATGTACACATGTAACTGAACGAGCTCTGCAGCACTGCACGAGCTCTGCACGAGCTCTGCACGAGCACTGCACGAGCTCTGCACGAGCACTGCACGAGCTCTGCACGAGCTCTGCACAAGCTCTGCACGAGCTCTGCACGAGCTCTGCACGAGCACTGCACGAGCTCTGCACGAGCTCTGCACGAGCACTGCACGAGCTCTGCACGAGCTCTGCACGAGCTCTGCACGAGCACATGTCTGGAGAGATAATCAATAGACGGCCCCAACGCAATTGGAGGTACCTGAGAGTGCCGCATTCACCTGAGATTTTTGAATTCACCTGAGAATGTTGAATTCACCTGAGATTGTTGGATTCACCTGAGAGAGCATCCGCCTGACGAGCGCACAGAGGTCAGGAGAGTAACTGCCAGACGTTGGGTGGAGACGAGTGAGGGAAGGGCAGAGAGAAGGGGAGTGGGAGAGTGGGATAGACAAGTGATGCTGGAAAGGAGAAGTGATAGCGAATGCGCTAGGACGTCGAGTGGAGAAGAGAAGTGGAGAAGTAAGGCGGGGGGAGGGGGAGGAGGAGGAAGAGTGGGATGGTGAGTGTTAGCACATGAAAGCGTGGCTGGGTGAAGAAAAACTGGATGAGAAAACAGCGGACTGGGCAGAACATTCTCACCCAAACGGCTCCTAACGCGACGGCATGGGGTCATGGCACATACTAAGGAGCATGGGGTCATGGCACATACCATGGCGGCATGGGGTCATGGCACATACCATGGCGGCATGGGGTCATGACACATACCATGGCGGCATGGGGTCATGGCACATACCATGGCGGCATGGGTTCATCGCACGTACCATGGCGGCATGGGGTCATGGCACATACCATGGCGGCATGGGGTCATGGCACATACCATGGCGGCATGGGGTCATGGCACGTACCAAGGCGGCATGGGGTCATGGCTCGTACCATGGCGGCATGGGGTCATGGCTCGTACCATGGCGGCATGGGGTCATGGCTCGTACCATGGCGGCATGGGGTCATGGCACGTACCATGGCGGCATGGGGTCATGGCACATACCATGGCGGCATGGGGTCATACCATGGCGGCATGGGGTCATGGCTCGTACCATGGCGGCATGGGGTCATGGCTCGTACCATGGAGGCATGGGGTCATGGCTCGTACCATGGCGGCATGGGGTCATGGCTCGTACCATGGCGGCATGGGGTCATGGCACATACCATGGCGGCATGGGGTCATGGCACATACCATGGCGGCATGGGGTCATGGCACGTACCATGGCGGCATGGGGTCATGGCTCGTACCATGGCGGCATGGGGTCATGGCACGTACCATGGCGGCATGGGGTCATGGCACGTACCATGGCGGCATGGGGTCATGGCTCGTACCATGGCGGCATGGGGTCATGGCACATACCATGGCGGCATGGGGTCATGGCACGTACCATGGCGGCATGGGGTCATGGCACATACCATGGCGGCATGGGGTCATGGCACATACCATGGCGACATGGGGTCATGGCACATACCATGGCGGCATGGGGTCGTGGCACGTACCATGGCGGCATGGGGTCATGGCATCCCGCCAGCACGAACGACACGAGCTCTTGGATGGATGTGGCGGGGAGCGCCGGCTCGCTGAAGCTCATGGCCCCATGGAGCAGGCTGCCGAGCGCCCATACGTCTGAAGGTGGGTTGAGGGGTCGATAGGCGAAAGAAGGGGGATAAATGCATTGGACGCCATGCGGCGGGGAGAGATGGCTCGCTAAGGTCATGGCTCGCTAAGGTCATGGCCCGTTGGAGCAGGCAGCTGAAGGCCCATATGTCTGTGGGGGGGAGGGGGAGTGGGGTGGGTGGAAGAAAGGGTGGGGAGAGAGAGACGGGAAAGAGGGAGAGAGAGAGGGAAGGAGGGGGAGAGGGCGTGTGGGTGCATGGATTTGTATGGATGTGAGGTAAGGGATGGATTGCAGCACATGGCTGTTGAGTCAACTCAATGGTCACCTTCCATGTGAGGCAGGGGGTGGATTGCAATTTGCAACACAAGGATTGACGGTTTGGCCAAGCCGCTGCTGAGCACCCGCTTGGCTGTGCAGGGGTGCCGATACTTCCATATCATGTCAACCATCGTTTCATCTCGCTTGTCATCTCACCTGACTTGCAGTCGTACGGTTCCTGGCGTATCATCTCAGGCGCCATGCGCAGGGGAGTCCGAATGAAGCCACTGGCTAGCCGCCCTCGCCCCTCTCCCCACTCCCGCCCCTCGCGCCCCTCTCCCCGCTCGCGCCCCTCCACCTCCTGCGAGACGCCAAAGCCGCCCAGCCGCACAGAGGCGGGGCCCAGCTGCGTATTGTTAGGGGAGTTGCAGAGAAAAACGTTCCTGCCCTGTTGGATAGGGGGAGAGGGGAGAGGCGGTTTTGGTGGGGGAGTGGGGAGAGGAGTTTCGGGGGAGGATTGGGGAGTGGTGAATGCATATGCTCAAGGGAAAGGGTAGGGCATGTGCGCATTGTACGGGCTTCAAGGCGCTTCACATTCGTACCTTGATGTCTCGATGCAGCGCGTTGCGGTGGTGTATGTGCTCTAACGCCAAGGGACGGGGCGGGGGTTGATGGATGTGCTTCATGTACCTTCACATGCATGGAGTACCTCCATGCATACTAGGTGACTTTTGAGTCGACTCAAGAGCCGTTTCATGTACCTTCACATGCGTGGAGTACCTCCATGCACACTGATTGCATGCGTTATAATGCCTAAGTATGCAATCTACCTTCACACGTGTACCTCGATGCATCGGTGCTGCACGTTGTGGTGGTGCATGTGCTCCAGAGCCAAGGCCAGTTGCAGCAGCCAGTGGAGAATGCTGTGCTCGGGTATACTGGAGGAATGCCAAGAGAGGGAGAGGGAGGAACGGGAGGGGGGAGAGGAAGAGCGGAAGGGGAAGTTGCAGCAGGCAAATGATCGGGGAGAGGGATCACTGGGATGTGAGGAAGGAAAGGGAGAGCAACTATCAGGCCAAAGCACCAGAGAAGCACATGCAGTGCGCCACAACGGTAGAAAGTAAGGGAGCTCTGAGGCAGGAAGTAAGTGTAGAGTGAGTAGGCGTGAAAACGGGCTGTTATTTCTACTCTATTTGGTCAAGCGCCTCAGCAAGCAGTGGGAGAGGAGTACAACAGAGACAATGTGTTGCTCGCAGTGACTCATGGGGGAACCCAGATGTAAGCAAACAACCCTCTGGAAACTCACAACGAGCGGCTGTCGTGGTGCTTCTTGATGAGCTCGGATAGTGTTTCCCCTCCACAGTGCTCCGTCACTGTGGCACACGACGCACACAGACAGTGATGATGGAGTCGAAGCGTCGAAGCAATGACGGGAGAGAGCAGCGCGTGTCATTGCCCGAAGTTCAGAGCACGGAAACACCCTCGGGAATACCGGTGCACCCATCATTGAGACTTGGGAATACCGATGCACCCATCATTGAGCCTTGGGAATACCGATGCACCCATCATTGAGCCTTGGGAATACCGATGCACCCATCATTGAGCCTTGGGAATACCGATGCACCCATCATTGAGCCTTGGGAATACCGATGCACCCATCATTGAGCCTTGGGAATACCGATGCACCCATCATTGAGCCTTGGGAATACCGATGCACCCATCATTGAGCCTTGGGAATACCGATGCACCCATCATTGAGCCTTGGGAATACCGATGCACCCATCATTGAGTTGCCTTAGGATACATCCAATCTTAGGTTGCCCGATGCACTGTCCCCTATTATCTCGCTCACCAATGCACATGCTTCGTGTTGCCTTGTCGATAAACGTCTCCTGCACGCACGCGAGCAGGGAGAGAGTGAGCCACGTCATGATTGGTCAAGTCGAACCGCGTCATCTCAGCCACGTCCGCTCAGTGGAGATGTCATGCCAAGAAACGGTTAAAAAAGGCGTCAACTGGAGTCTACAGCGGTCAACTCAGGTCAATGCTCTTGATCTCAGCCCCTCCTTCCGCAACCACGCAGTCCTCCATGGCCTCTTGTTTTGTTTCTGCGTTCCGTTGCCTTTTGAGTCGACTTAAAGGTGAGCTCGTTACAGTGTCAAGGCACTCCGTCCTCCATCGCCCCTTGCTCTGTTTCTGCCTTCTGGTGTCCATGCATGCTGTAGTACGTGCACTACACTACACTGGAGTGGCTTTACTGAAATTAAAACCCCACCTTTTTTTTTTAATCTCCCCTCATCCATCTCACCCTGCATCCGACCATGTACCGCCTACCAGTGGTACCGCCTTCCCCACACACGCCGCATGTTTTTGAGACGCCGTCGCTCCACTGCCCCACCTCCCCATCGCCCCATCCCCACCTCCCCATTCATCTCGCCTTGCGTTCGACCAAGCTGACTTTTCAGTCGACCCAAAAGTCACCCCATCAGCCCATCGCCTCATCGCCCCATGGGCCCATCCCCCCATGGCCCCATCCCCACCTCCCCATTCGTCTCACCTTGCATTCGACCAAGCACGGGTGGCACAGCCACGCCCTCGTCTCCGTCTCCCTCACACACGCCGCTCGTTGCGCCGCGTCTTCCGGCAACGGAACGACTCTCATCACCCACGTGGCGCCGGGAGCCATTTCCCTGTCAGACGCGCCGAATAATTCTTCCGATTCCTCAGGAGCCTCAAAAGCCGGAGCTATTTCCTTGTCATATGTGCCTGATTCCTCCGATGCTTGAGGTGCCGCAAAAGTCGGAGCTACTTCTTTGTCAGACTCGCGTGTTTCCTTCCCTCCTAGCGCCGCGCCATGGCTGGCAAGGCTCGAGGCCCCACATGCTCGAAGCGAGCTCTTACTGCAAGCTAAGCTGTTACCCGCCTTTTGAGGCGCATCGTCGATTAAGCTGCTACCCGCCTTTTGAGGCGCCTCGTCGATTAAGTTGCTACCTGTTTTTTTAGGCGCCTCATAAGCTAAGCGGCTGCTCGCAGCGCGCTTTTCGCGGACTAAGTAGAACCGCCCAGAGCCGCAACCGAGGCTTTCCATTATCTCATAATCGTCCATCGCCCGGCGGCGGCTGTCAAAACCAAGCTCCAGGCGTTCCAATTCTCGAGGCCTCTCAGAGAAAGAATCAAGGCCGTTGTCGTGCTTCGCTACATCGAAATTATTCATCCGCAAAAGCAGGCGATATTGCCGTGAGCTCGCCACATACGCCCTAGTACCTAAAGACGCTGCTTTATCTACTGGTAGCGGCGGCGAAAAGCCTGAAAGTAACTAACTTAGTACCAGGCTAACTTAGTACGACCACTAGTCCGAAAGCTAACAAGGGGTATCTGACCGCGATGACGCTACTATCGAAAGTCGCGACAAGAAGCCTGCATCGTGCTCTCACAGCTACGAACTAGAATCAGCTGTCTCCTGCGAGGTCACGGGACTAGCTGCTTTCTCTTCCCCGACGTTTCGAGTCTGACTGGATTGTCGGCTACCTACTTTTCTCTGGCTCGGCATCGGACTAGGTCAGGCGACGGCGCCTGGCATGCGCATAGAAGGACCCGAGACATTGATTTTCGTGGTGCTTGCGTGGCACGTTTTGCTTGCAGTACGCTTGGCTGAGTGCACGCTGTCGAGCGGGAAGCGAGCAGGCACGTCCAAGAGAGTGAGCGAGAAGTCAGGTATGCACCCACCTGGCTTGCGCCATCATGTAAGGTTTGAGAGGAGCAGCCATTGAAATTGCCTTCGTGCCACGAAAACCACGAGGCGGGCGAGGACGGCACGAACAGGAAATTCCATGCGAAATGGTGATTGAATAGACGACAATCTCGCGAACCATACTTTTCCAGCACAGAGCATTAGTTACCAGTGTCGCGAAATAACGCGAATGACAAGGCTTGAGTGAGCCACGACGACGCAATGAACCTTCAACAAATGCGAAGATGGGATTGGACCACCAGCCTCACGCTTGCGCCAAGAAATCACCCGCGACTTGCTGGAAATTCCCAGCCCTGGGAGTCGTGCCTCCCCTAGCACGAGGGCGGACCAATCGGTTCTTCACGACGCAGGCACGCGGTTCGGAAATCAGGAGCAGTCTTTCGGCTATTTCAAACATTTTGAAACTTCGGGCTACCTCCAGGGGACTGAAACTTGTACACTCCGCGTGGCATGCAGGAGAGGCCCGGTCTGGTCCGTGTGACACTGCCCGCGTGGTTGTGATTTGAAATCACACGAGACTGGCGCTAAGCATCAAGATTTTTTCATGTGATGCCTTGATCACCGAGACCTGCGCTTCACCGAGCAAATCAAGTGGAGGTGCCTCCCCTTGCTGATGTTCTAGGGGTGATAGCATCTGAAAAAATGTTTGCAGAGTTGATGGGTGTCGGATGGGCTTCGTTACAATATCTGCCTCAATGAAGTATACAGCTGCGTACCTAGAATGGATTTTATTCGTACGAGAAAGTCACACCTTACGAACAATATGATCATGAGCAAACGTTCATGTACATTATGCCATATGGGGCCATACTTTTTTGCTGAGTGTACCACGATTGGCTTGCAGCTATAGCTCCTCGTGCTCTACTTGTCTTCTTTGCTGCTCCTCATGTTCATGAATACTGTTGTAAAATACATGGGAGTGTGCTTGCATCTCTTCTAGATGGAGGTACCCATCACCATTGTTGTCCGCCTGCAAAAATAAAGGAAAACAGGGGGAACGAAGGAGCTTGAGGCGTCAGAAACATGTCAACAGCCTTCTTTGCCTCCCCCCACCACATTTGCTCCCCACTAATCACACACTCCCTCACACTGCCCCATCTCCCATTATGTCCCCTTATATTCAAACCATCAGCAGCATCCCATATCCCACCTGGCGAATCATCTCTGCAGCCTTCTTCTCGGCGAAGTCCCTTTCGCTCGGCCACAGCACGCGCAGCACCGGCTCAAACTCGCCCGGGGAGAGGAAGCTGCCAGGAAGGACACAGAAAGAAGCGGAAACGAAGATTGGCCTAGATGAGAGGGACGGAGCAGAAGAGGGAACCGGAGCTGGCAGTGATGCGCATTGTAAGACAGGTTGATCTCTCAGGAAATGCAAGGGGTGCTCTGCAAAGCGTGTCCTGTCCTCGTGGTTGAACTTGGACATACAGCTGCGAAAAAGGGCCACGATTATGTGTCACTCATTCAACCGACCTGATTCCTGTGTGGAGATAAGTACTCAGAAGACCACCACCATCACACTACGACACCTCGCAAACTGACCATGAGCCGACTTAAACATCAACCACACATACTTACAAAGTCCTTCGCATGCTCAATCACATTCCCTACACTCACCCATCCCCATCCTTATCCAGCTCCTCGAACCTCCCCCTCGCCCGCTTCTCCTTCTCCTCCAAAGCCTCCCGAAACTCGCCGCCCGTGCGGTGTGGCCGGCGGTGGTCGTTGCTCCATTTGTCCTTGTCTGCCTGGGCGGCGTGCATGTGGACAAGCGCCTCCACAGGGTCGTGGCTGTCGTCCTCGTGTGCGATCAGCTCGTGGAAGACCGTCTGCTTGAACTCTGAGAACGATATGCGGCTGTCGTTGTCGGTGTCCCGATCCCTGGAGGGTGGCGGGGGAATGGTAAGATGTTAGGTGGAGTGGAGGGAGAGGGGGAGGGGAGGCAGGTTGGGAGGATGGTAGGGGGGGCTGTCGTCCTCATGGGCAATCAGCTCGTGGATGACCGTCTGCTTGAACTCTGAGAACGATGTGTGGCTGTCGTTGTCGGTGTCCCGATCCCTGGAGGGTGGCGGGGGAATGGTAAGTTGTTGGGTGGAGTGGAGGGAGAGGGGGAGGGGAGGCAGGTTGGGAGGATGGTAGGGGGGGCTGTCGTCCTCGTGGGCAATCAGCTCGTGGATGACCGTCTGCTTGAACTCTGAATATGACATGCGGCTGTCATTGTCAGTGTCCCAATCCCTGCCCAGGTAGGGGGATAGTGGAAGGGCGATGACAGAGTGTGGAGGGTGATTGGGGAAGGGTAGGGGGGAGGAGCTCATGGAAGACTGTCTGCTTGAACTCTGAATATGATATGTGGCTGTCATTGTCACTGTCCATATCCCTGCAGTGTGACGGGGTGGGCAAGAGGTAAGACGTTGGGTGGAGTGGAGTGGAGGGTGGGTGGAGCTTGGCAGGTTGGGAGCATGGCAGGTTGGGAGGATGGCAGGTTGGGAGCATGGCAGGTTGGGAGCATGGCAGGTTGGGAGCATGGCAGGTTGGGAGCATGGCAGGTTGGGAGCATGGCAGGTTGGGAGGATGGCAGGTTGGGAGCATGGCAGGTTGGGAGCATGGCAGGTTGGGAGCATGGCAGGTTGGGAGGATGGCAGGTTGGGAGGACGAGCTCTATATGTGAACCCTAGCACGTACTCTTGACCTGAATAGCCACCTGAATTCTCACCTGAACTCCTGCAGTAGTGTCAGGTTGCGCAGCCTCGGGTCGTCACTGTCCTCGGGATGCAAGTAGCTGCCGGGGAGAAGGGAGAGAGAGGGATGGGGAGTAACCCGGGAGGAGGGTTTTTTTTTAAAGAATTCTCAAGACGCCTCGGGAGGCGATTAGAAAGTGAGTTGGCTTCACAGAAACTCGCACAGCAGAGAGCTCAGCTGTCCTGGTCCAACGCGTAGCCCCTTAGTGCTCACCTGCTGAGCTCTGTCACGTTGAGCCTGCCATCGCCATCGCTATCTGCCAGGTGGAATCTCTCCTCCAGCTCCCTCCGCTGCTCCTCCCCCCCCCCCCCCACTAGCTCTGCCATTCAACGTTTCAGTCAGACTCAGTTAGGCTCATAATCGCTCACCTGTTGAGCTCCGCCAAGTTGAGCTTGCCATCGCCATCGCCATCCGCGAGGTGGAATCTTTCCTCCAGCTCCCTCCGCTGCTCCTCCCCCCCCACGTGTTGCCAGCCCCCCTCCCCACCATGCACTGTTGGGGGAAGAGGCAAGGCACGGGCGTTGACGTTAGAGAGCAGAACGGTTTGCAGGCATGAACCGTGCTTGACACGCCTCAAGAGATGAAGCATTCACGCTGAAGCAAGCAAGTGTAGGGGGAGTTGCAACCTGCGGATTGGGATTCATAACCGTTGCCAGCCAGCTGCACAAGGCAACCTCAAAAGGCCAACACAACAGCGAACTGGAAGTTGGTCAACAGGCACAACTAAGTCGGAAGAGTCAACACAGTCAACAAAGTCAACGAGCTACCTGCCTGGTCGGCAAGTTCGTCTTCTAGCGCCTCTTCCAGAGTAATCTTGCCATCCGCATCGCCGTCCACCGCCTCCATCTCCCGCCGCGTGCGGTGCAGGCTTGCCGCCCGCTCCACGGACAGCAGCCACGTGGCGAGCTCTGATTGGCTGATGCGCCCATCGGGGGGAGAGGCGTCAAGGAGGGGGAAGAGCAGCGCGAGGCGGTGGGAGAGATTGAAGTGGTCGTACTTGAGGTCGTCTGGGGGGTGGGGGGGAGGGGGGAGGGTGAAGACTAATTTTGAGGCGCCTCAAAAATAGACTCCTCACGGTGGGGGGGGGGAGGGTGAAGACCGGCAGAAACATACTGAAGCATGAGAAAGCATGGGAGGGCGAGGCGGTGGAAGAGATTGAAGTGATCGTGTTTAAGGTCGTCTGGGGGGGGGAGGAGGGGGAAAGGGCGGGGGGGATTGGGGAGGGGGGGAGCGGGGTGGCGTTAGGATGCAGGTTGGGGGAAGGGAAACGGGGGCAGGAAGAAAAAGGGCTTTGAGTAGAGCGCATGGGAGAGAGATTCAGTGGGAGAGGGAGGTCGAAGTGGCCGCATTTGAGGTCGGCTGCATTGGGCGGGGTAGGAGGTGAAGGAAAGGGTGGAGTACGATGCGGGGTGGGGGATGATGCGGGGTGGGGGATGATGCGGGGTGGGGGATGATGCGGGGTGGGGGATGATGCGGGGTGGGGGATGATGCGGGGTGGGGGATGATGCGGGGTGGGGGATGATGCGGGGTGGGGGATGATGCGGGGTGGGGGATGATGCGGGGTGGGGGATGATGCAGGGTGGGGGACGGCGAAGGGTTTTGAGTGGAGAGGCGGGGGGCGGTGGGAGAGGTTGAAGTGGCCGTAGATGAGGTCGTCTGCACAGGAATAGAGGGGAGGGGGGGAGGGGGACGAAAAAGGATATGAGTGGAGAGCCTGGGGGAGGGCGAGGCAGTGGGGAGGTTGAAGTGGCTGTACTTGAGGAGGAATTGGCTTTTGAGAATTCTCAAAAGCCAGTGCAGTGGTGGTCGGACTGGAGGTCGTCTGGAAGCGGCGTAGGAGGTGGTGGTGGGGGGTGGGGTGTAAGGGGAAACGGTAAAGGCGGGAGGGAGGGAGGTGGGGTGGGGTGTAGGGCGAAGGGCCAAGGGGGGGAGGGAGGGTAACGGTAAGGAGCGCAAGGAAGGAAGAGGCGGCGGAGAGGTTGAAATGGTGGTCGGACTTGAGGTCGTCTGGATTGGGAGGAGGAGGGGGAGGAGGGGGGGAGGAGGGGGGGAGGAGGGGGGGAGGAGGGGGGGGAGGAGGGGGGGGAGGAGGGGGGGGAGGAGGGGGGGAGGAGGGGGTGGAGGAGGGGGGGAGGAGGGGGGGGAGGAGAGGGGGAGGAGGAAGGGGAGGAGGGGGGGGGAAGAAGGGGGGAAGAAAAAGGGGGGAAGCAGGGGGGAGAAGAAGGGGGGGGGAGAAGGGGGGGGAAGAAGGGGAGGGGGGGGGGGGTGGGGGGAAAGATGGGGCGAGCGAGAGAGAAAGGAAGAGGACGGGAAGTGGGAGAGGACGGGAAGGAGGTGGATGGAAAAAGCACAGGAGGCAGTGGGAAAGGTTGAAGTGCTTGTACTTGAGGTGCTTTGCATTGGGAGGAGTGGGGGGGGGGGTGGGGAAGGTGGGAGGAAGAGAGGGGGGGTGGGGGGTGTGTAGGATGCGGAGTGGGGAAGGGAAACGGGGGCAGGAAGGGACACGGGGGCAGGAAGGGACAGGTGATTTAGTGGAGAGCCAGGAAGGAAGTGAGAGGGAGGGAGACGAAGGGAGGGCCCGGGAGGGACAGAGTGGTTGAACTGGCTGTACTTGGGGTCGTCTGACAAGGAGACGAAGCGAGGGAGGGGCAAGGGGGGGGTTGTGAGAGGTGGCAGTTGAGGTCTGGTTGGTTTGTGAGACTAAGATGATGTGAGACTGAGATGTGAGACTAAGATGTGAGACTAAGATGTGAGACTAAGATGATGTGAGACTGAGATGTGAGACTAAGATGTGAGACTAAGATGATGTGAGACTGAGATGTGAGACTAAGATGTGAGAGTAAGAAGGGAGAGGGGGGGATGCGGGGAATGAGGGGAATGCGGGGGACAGGGCCACGAGTTCGCCATTCACCCCTCACTTTCCGCTGGCCCCTTCTCACCCCATCCTCTCCAGAATGCTGGTAACCCTACTTCCCCTCTCTCTCCCTCGCTATAATCACCTTCTGTGAACTCATGGTGATACCCTTCGTGCTCCCCCCACTCCCAGTCGTCCTCCACGTCTCTGTACCGCGCGCGGTCCTCCTCAAACTCCTCCAACTCGTTTCCCTCCAGCGTCCCGTCTTCCTCCTCCTCCTCCCCGTCCCCCACCCCCACCCCTTCCCCGTGCAGGTGGTGCTTCCGCGGATCGTCCGAGTGCACGCGGAACGGCTTCCGCCCGCCGTGCAGCCGCGCGTAGCGCCGCTCCCACGCGCGGTCGTCGCGCTGCTGCTCGACCTCCGCCAAGAGCGGGTCGAACGCCACGTGGACGACGCGCGGGTTCGCGTCGCCCGTCGCATCGCCTACCGCGTCGAGTACGCTGTCGCCGGCTGTCGCGCGGACGACGCCTGACGCGGCATCCTCGATATAAGACGAAGCGCTTATTGAAGCGCGCCGTCTGCTGAAGTCGAGGAGTTTGCGGCCGTCAGGCGCACGAGGAGCGCGGGTGAGAACGAGAGTTAGGATGAGGAATAGGAGGAAGAGAGGATAGAGAATGTGCGGCCGAAGCAAGGCGCGAAGCGAGTCCATCGAACATACTCAGATAATCAGGAACTCGGGAGCATTTGCGACCTGCTTTCAAGCTCATACAAACACTGGAGAATCCTTACTTCGTGCTGGCCATCATGAGCATCCTCGATATTAGTTATGGTGTAATCTGTACCACAAGACCCTGTAATTGGTGGAGGTTGGTTTGGGGAGCTTTCAAGAGGTGGAGCTATCAAGGTTGGTTGAGATAATTCCCTTCACCGCGATATACTCACCAGCTTCTTCGAATTAATAGTTTCGCACTCTTGTTCATTTTACGAAAATGACATTTCAACAGTGATCGCTACACCCCATCCTCATCGTTTCCGCCATCCTCTTGGCTCGTGTACCTCCTCCAGTTTCTCCCTACCGCTAGGAAACTATTCAAGGGTGACCTACTGTTGTCATCGCAGCGAGAAGCACGAGGAGTGGCGACTGCCGTTGCTTGCTGCGCGGAGGTTTCGTCTCAGCTCCTTCGTTCCGTTACTGCCGTCTCTCCGTTCTCTTACAGAAGCGCCGGCCGGACACACGCATTCCGTCTGCAGCCATGCTTTCCGCGGCGTCCCGCACCTCCTCCCGAGGGCTCCACAAGGTTCGTGGCCTCTCATCTGATTGGCTCTTCACACGGTTCGTGTACCAAGAGCCCGTGAAGTGTCTAAGTTCAGTGGATCTGGCACCAGGACTAGCGCTCTTTAAGTTTGTCTGTGAGGGGATTCGATTCCGGACTGGGAACCTCAGAGACACCAGATTTAAGGATCTAGCACGAGTCGTGATACCTGGCCACGTTACCTTTCGAGGCGCCTCAAAACTAGTGTTGACGACGTTTTCCGCGATCTTGTAGCATCAACGCGCATTTTCCTTGGCTTCTCCGAGTCTCGAGTCTCCTCTCTTCCTGGCGGATCGCCCACGCCCTTCGCCACTTCAGCGTTCTCTTGTTGGTCTTAGCGGTTCGTGTTGGGCTGGGTCGCCGGATCACACTCTTCGAAAACAATACCCTGGCATTTCTGCATTCCCTAGATCGATTGGCTTTCGAGCCCATTCTCCCTCCCGCTTACGGATCTTCACCGCACCACTGTGTCTCTACCAAAGCGCAGCTTTGAGCAGCATCGTTGAAACCCCAACGACAGTACACTTTCCAACCTCCCAAGGACGAGCAGTGTAGATCGTCTTCGGCCGTTGCTAGTCCCGTTCTCCCTCTTCTGCTGCGTCCTATCTCACGGATCCGAGGACGTCTTGGAACTTGATGCCTTGTGCCTTTTCTGAGGTGACTTTTGAGTCGACTCAAAAGTCACCTCGTTACAATGTCACACAGCACTTTTGAGTCGACTCAAAAGTCACCTCGTTACAATGTCACGTCTTGGAACTTGATGCCTTGTGCCTTTTCTGGCACCCGCTCTTCGTGAACACACAGAATCTTTCGGACTTAATGCCAATCTCAAATGCTACGGCGGATCCTCTGCCGTCCCGGACACGTTCGTCGTATTTCAATCCACGTAACGAGTCGCGAATTCTTCCACCCACCTCACAACCCTGCATTCGCAATCTACCCTCCCCACGCTCTGGACCTCCCTCCCCGCGGCCCGCTCCCCCTACTCCTTCCCCGCACTCCCTCCCCCCACTCCTTCCCCCCACTTCTTCCCCCCATTTTTTCTCCCCGCTCCTTTCCCCCAGGCCCTCGGATCCATCGCAGCCGTCCGCCTGCTCGCCCCCGCCGCATCCCCCGCGTCCCCCTTCACCACCTCCGCCTCCGCGCCCGCCGCCGCCTCCACCGCCGTCGCTCACGCCGCGAAGCCCGCGAAGAAGGGGGGGCTGCTCTCGCTGCTCTTCGGGTCCGCGCCGCCTCCCGGGCCGCCCATGTTCGAGCCGCTCCCCGGGGTCGCTATCCCGCCGCCCCTGACGGAGTTTAAAGCCACGGAGACGGTGGTGTCCACCCTGCCGAATGGACTCCGGATCGCTTCCGAGAACCTTCCTGTGAGTCATAGGGCGAGCACCTGCACATTAAACGTATCAGGTTATAGCAAGAGCCATAGCTGGACAATCGATAGGGTTCTTTGCCCCCCTGCTCGCCACTCTCTTCCCCCGTTCCTCTCCCTCCCCAGGGCCCCACAGCGACAGTGGGGCTGCACATAGACGCGCGGGCAGCGTGCATGTAAGAGCGGGGATTGGCTCGTCTCACTACCAGTCGCCTCCCCTTCTTAACAGCCCCCCGCAGCATCGGTGGGGCGGTCCATCGACGCGGCCAGCGTGCACGAGGGGTGCAGAACAGCGGAGCGCAGGTGCAAGTGGGCGCCTGCCGGTTGGGCAGGAGTGTGCGAGTGCGAATGACAGCTGAGTCTCCCCTTCTCGCCTCCCTTATCAGCTGGTTCTTATCAGGGCCTCACGGCAACGGTGGGGCTGTACGTTGATGCGGGCAGCGTGCACGAGGGGTGCAGAACAAGTGCGAATGACAGCTGCGTCTCCCGCTCTCGCCTCCCTTTCGTATCAGGGCCCCCCTGGCAACGGTGGGGCTGTACGCTGATACGGACGGTGGCCATGAGGGCGTGGGGAGCAGCGGAGCTTCACTGTCTCGTGTCGTGACCTCCCCATTCTCCTGGGGCCGCCTTTCACACTCCGCCTTTCCCTCCCTTTTCCCAGGGCCCCACGGCGTCGGTTGGGCTGTACATCGACGCGGGCAGCGTGCATGAGACCGCGGAGAACAGCGGGGCGTCGCACCTGCTGGAGCGCATGGCGTTCAAGAGCACCACCAACCGCACGCACTTCCGACTCATCCGCGAGGTGGGCTTGTTAGGGAGGTGTGCTTGCCAGGGGTGGGCTTATTGTGCTTATCCGTGAGGTGCGCTTACCAGAGAGGTTCCCTTATTGGAAGAGTGTGCCTATTAGGGGGGCATGCCCACGTGTTGCGGTTTATTAAGCAGTATGGATGGTCTTGGAGCTCATCTCTTTTGGACACCATTTCGGAAAGTTTTGATACTTCAAACTTCGATCTCACCTCCTCTCCCCTCTCGCCCAGATCGAGGCCGTCGGTGCCAACGTGATGTCAGTCAGCTTCTTCACCGCCTTTGACAGCAACCGCCTTTTCAAAAGGACTCAATGCTTATCTTTTCCTCTCCCCTCCTTCTCCTGTCCGGCGCTTCTCATCTCCCATCTCCCATCTCCCATCTCCCATCTCTCATCTCCCATCTCCCATCTCCCATCGCCCATCTCCCTCTTTTCAGATCGAGGCCATTGGCGCCAACGTGATGTCGTCGGCGTCGCGGGAGCAGATCGCGCTGACAGCGGACGCCATCCGCACGTACGTGCCTGAGGTGGTGGAGCTGCTGGCTGACACCGTGAGGAACTCGCTCTTCCACGACTGGGAGGTCAAGGAGCAGGTGGGCTGTTGAGAGGAGAAGTCCCCTTCCATGACGGGGATGGGGAGGTGGAGGAGCATGTAGCTCAGGCAGCGAGTAGTTGAAGGAGCAGGTGGGCCGTTGAAAGAAGAGGGAGGGCTGGGAGGTCAAGTAACGCGTGTGACGCTGACTATCTTGACAGGTGGGTGATACAAGTGGGAGCAGGTAAAACGGGAGTCTATTTTTTAGGCGCCTCAAAAACTTTGACAGGTGGGTGATAGAAATGGGAGCAGGTGAAACGGGAAGAAGAGGTGGGATGCTCCCGAGGTGGTGGAGCTGCTGGCTGGCGGACACAGGCACCGTCTGCAACTCCATGTTCCGCAATTAGGTGGGGTAGGAGTGAAGCCTCATTCCGGCCTCACCTCCTCCCCCCCCCGGCTCCCATCTCCAGGTTGACGAGGTGCTTCAGCGACCTACACGGCACCACGCTTCGTTCTGGGAGGGCTCACTCCTTCCCCTCTCCCTCCCTCTCCCCTCCCGCCACCCGCAGGTGGACAAGGTGCGCAGCGAGCTGGCCCTACTGCAAGGCACCAACCCCCAGGGCCTCATGCTTGAGGCCCTCCACTCAGCCGGGCTCTTGGCCAGCCGCTGCTGGCGCACGATTCCTCCCTGGCGAGGCTGAACGGGCAGGTGGTGTACGAGGTCGTGGCGGCCAACTACACACAACTTGTGTGTTGAGAAGCCTTTTTCTTGCCTCACTCCTCACTCCATCACCCGCAGGTGGACAAGGTGCGCAGCGAGCTGGCTCAACTGCAAGCCACCAACCCCCAGGGGCTCATGCTCGAGGCCCTCCACTCAGCCGGGTATGCCGGGGCGCTCGGCCAGCCGCTGCTGGCGCATGAATCCTCCCTGGCGCGGCTGAACGGGCAGGTGCTGTACGAGTTCGTGGCGGCCAACTACACGGCGCCGCGCATCGTGGTGGCGGCGGCCGGCGTGGAGCACGAGGAGCTGAGGGAGGTGGTGGAGCCGCTCTTTGGAGACATGCCTGGGGGAACCGTGCCAGAGACGCCCAAGTCGGTGTATGTGGGAGGAGACTGGCGCATGGCGGCTGACTCACCGGTGAGTCTTGATGGGTAGGCGCGGAGCACGAGGAGTTAAGGGAGGTGGTGGAGCCGCTCTTTGGAGACATGCCCGGGGGGGCCGTGCCTGAGACGCCTAAGTCGGTGTATGTGAGAGGTGACTGGCGCATGGCGGCTGACTCACCGGTGAGTCTTGATGGGTAGGCGCGGAGCATGAGGAGTTGGAGCCGCTCTTCGGCGACATGCCCGCTCTTCGACTCAAAAGTTGCCCGCGGGGAACCGTGCCTGAGACGCCCAAGTCGGTGTGGCGACTGGCGCATACTCCCTGGTGAGTCTTGATGGGTAGGCGTGGAGCAGGAGGAGTTGAGGGAGGCGGTGGAGCTGCTGTTCGGAGACATGGGGGGGGGGGGGGGGGGGCGTGGGTCGATCCAGAAGGTAAGCTCGGCCTCCCTGCTCCGCTTTTGAGTCGACTCAAAAGGGGGGGGGGGGCGTGGGTCGATCCAGAAGGTAAGCTCTGCCTCTCTGCTCCGCTTTTGAGTCCCCAATCCTCAAAAATGTGCTCCGTACTCCCTATCCCTGTCGCCCGTCTCCCGTCGTCCATCTACCGTCTCTGCCTCCCTGGTTCGCACACTCCCACACCTCCCCACTCCCTCCTCCCTGCCCTTCTCCCTACTCCCCTCCCTTCTCCCTACTCCCCTCCCTTCTCCCTACTCCCCTCCTCCCTACTCCTCTTTCTGGCTCGTGCTTGCAGGAGACCCACGTGGCGCTCGGATTCGAGTTCCCTGGGGGATGGCGCAACGAGAAGGACGCGCTGGCAGTGGTGGTGCTGCAGACGCTGCTTGGCGGTGGCGGGTCCTTCTCTGCTGGCGGGCCTGGCAAGGGCATGTACTCGCGCCTCTGTGAGTCTAGCCTTCGCTGTTCTTCACAAGGTTGTTTGGTGCTCTCAACGCTCTGGGGCACCCTCAACTCGCACGGGCTGTGGTTCCTGCTGTGAGGCGCCTGAATATGTGTGGCCGCACATCCAAGGCCAACCACGAGACAAGATACGTGTGGTTCATTCTTGTGCGCTCGTCTGGCCTCCCCCCTCTCTGCTTCTTCTTTCCTCCTTCCCTCTTCCCCCCTGCTCGCCTGCTCTCATCTCTCTTCTCTCAGACACCTGGCTGCTCAACCAGTACGCCATGGTGACGTCATGCTCTGCGTTCCTGTGACCCTCCTCTCATACTCCTCTCATACTCCTCTCGTACTCCTCTCATACCCTCCTCTCTATACCGTTGACCTCTCTTTCTCTCACCTTCTCCAACCTCCCTCCCCTGTCTCGCCCTCCCCCCCCCTCCCAGACACCCGTGTGCTCAACCAGTACGGCATGGTGACGTCATGCTCTGCTTTCAACTCCATCTACAACAACACGGGGCTCTTTGGCATCCATGCTACAGCCGTGAGTGCCATGCTACAGCCGTGAGAGCCATGCTACAGCCGTGAGTGCCATGCTACAGCCGTGAGTGCCACGCTACAGCCGTGAGGGCAACGCTACAGCCGTGAGTGCCATGCTACAGCCGTGGATAGTTCGGGGTTTAAGGTGCCACACTACAGCCGTGGGTGTTCAGGGTGTTGGGCGCTACAGCATTTTCCCATTCGTTGGGAGTTGACACATGGATGACATGAGCTGCAGTTCTGGCTGGAGTTGAGTCCCACCCACCTTCGTTTCATCACTCCTTCGTTTCATCACTCCTTCGCTTCATCACTCCTTCGTTTCATCACTCCTTCGCTTCATCGCTCCTTCGTTTCATCACTCCTTCGTTTCATCACTCCTTCGTGTCATCACTCCCACCCACCTCCCAGCTTCGTTTGATTCAGCCCCCCACGACCACCTCCCCCCCCCCCCCCACCTTCCGGCAACGCCCCTGAGCTCGTTGACGTCAAGTCCTGTCCGCTCTTACTCGTTTTTTTTCCATCCCTCCCTCCCCTCCCCCCACCTCCTGCTTTTTATTCCCCCTCCCCTCTCCCCTCCCCCTCCCCGCTCCCCTCCCCCTCCCCCTCCCCCCCCCCCCGTTCCATCAGCGGTCCGGCCATGCCCCTGAGCTGCTTGACATCATGACTCGCGAGTTCCTGGCTTCTTCGCCTCACCACTCCCCATTGTCTCTCTTTTTGGTGTCCCATCTGTCCTCGCCACCTGCTGCTCTCCTTCTCCTCACACCCCCCTCCCCCCCTCCCTCCCCCCCTCCTCCCCCCCCCGTTCCTTCAGCCGTCCGGCCATGCGCCTGAGCTGGTTGACATCATGACTCGTGAATTCCTGGCAGTTGCTGAGCCCAATGGAGGTGAGACGCGAGGAAGGTGAGATGCAAGGAAGGTGGAATTTGAGGGGCGTGGGATATGAGGTCTTCTAGAGTCCGCTGCTGTTGCTGAGCCCGATGGAGGTGAGTTGAGACCGTGGCAGGGAGGTGAGATGGCAGGGAGGTGAGATGGCGAGGTGAGATGGGGGAAGGAGGGGAGATTTGGAGAGATGAGATTCAGGAGGAGGTGAGATTTGAGGGGGGTGGCGTATGAGTTGATGTAGAGTCTACTGCCGTTGCTGAGCCCAATGGAGGTGAGATGCAATGGAGGTGAGATGCAAGGAAGGTGAGATGCGAGGGAGGTGAGCCGAATATTCTGTCAACCATTCGGTTGTGAGGAGAGCGATAGAGCCTAGAGGAAGAATGCCCAGAATGTGCGCATCGCTCTTCTAACCACAACCAGCATTTCCTTTCCTCCCGACTTGCAGTGTTTCGTGAGGAGCTAGAGGGAGTGAAGAACGCGTGCGTGCATGTCATGTCATCTACTAAAATGACTAGAATGATTTAGATGAACCACGGCTTCACTTCTCTTCTAGAACTACGCATACACCACCCCCCCCCCCCCCCCCCCCCCCGTTCCGCTCGACCCCACCGCCCTTTCCCCATGGCAGTGTCTAGTGGGGAGGTAGAGCGGGCCAAGAAAGAAGGCTGCTGCTTCGCTGTGCTAGCCACTAATCCCACCCCTTCCGCCACTACTCCCCACCTCTCGTTCCCCTCGTGCAACACCCCTGGCAGTGTCTAGTGAGGAGCTGAATCGGGCCAAGAACGCGTGCATCTCATCCATTGAAATGAGCCAGTGCTGCCCCGCTTTCCAAGAATCATGCATGTCTCCCCCCTCCCCCCCCCCCCCCCTTCACCCCCACCTCTCTTCCCCCCTGGCAGTGTCTACTGAGGAGCTAGAGCGCGCCAAGAACGCGTGCATCTCATCCATCGAAATGAACCTAGAGTCGCGGGTGAGACCCCTATGGCTGTGTTCTTTAGTCGACTCAGAATTTGGGTTTCTCTGTGACTGGACTCAAAATGTGGGCAAAGAATGCGTGCATCTCATTGGCTGAAATGAACATCCATCCATCCGTGCATCCATCCATCCCACCCCATCCCACCCCATCCCATCCCATCCCATCCCATCCCATCCCATCCCACCCCATCCCATCCCACCCCATCCCACCCCATCCCACCCCATCCCACCCCATCCCAACCCATCCCATCCCATCCCATCCCACCCCATCCCAACCCATCCCATCCCATCCCATCCCATCCCATCCCATCCCATCCCATCCCACCCCCTCCTCGTCTCGCCACACCAGGTGGTTGTTGCGGAGGACATCGGCCGTCAGATCCTCACCTATGGTCACAGGTGATTCATCCTCTCCGTTGATTAAGCTCCCCAGATTTTCTCTTGCATGTTTCGTGAATGATTTGCACCTGCTTCTCGCGTGCTTGCTTTTCCCGTGCTTGCTTCTCCTGTGCCTGCTTCGCCTGTGCCTGCTTCTCCTGGGCCTGATTCTCCATCCACCCCCCTTTCGCCTCCTTCCTTTTTATCAAGCCTCCATCATCCGCACTCATCTTCCCTCACTTTCGTTTCAACCTGCCACATGCCACACGCCACACGCCACATGCCACATGCCATTCCATCTCCCATGCCTAACGCACTCCCAAGCCGCACGGTTCCATTGCTCCTCTCCCCTCCTTCCTTTCCCCTCCTTTCCCCTCCATCGCCCTCCCCACACCCACAGGAAGCCGCCCCATGAGTTCATTGCAAGGCTGAGGGAGGTGACAGCAGCCGACATTGCCAACGTGGCCAGGAAAATCATCTCCACTCCCCTCTCCATGGCATCCTATGGTGATGGTGAGTCCTTCCCCTCTCCATGGCATCCTACGGTGATGGTGAGTCCTTCCCCTCTCCATGTCATCCGACGGAGACGGTGAGTCGTTCTGTTTCGTTGAGTCCTGGATTTTGAAGTGGAATGGCCTCTTTTCCATGTAAAATGTCGTAACAATGCGTCAAAGCAGTCTCGCGCCTATCCAGAGTTGCTGTGGCAATAAAAGGTACTGCTGTGCGTTTTCTACAGATAAGCTGGTTTTCGTCCAGGTTATGTCCGTCCGTGCCTCCCAGTGGTCTGTCCTGCCATTCTCATCGCATCACAACATTCCTTCCCTTTGTCCCGGTTGCCCCTTCAGTTGTCCATGTTCCTCGTTTCGACCAAGTCGCTGCACGCTTCAGCTGATTGGCCTCCGCTGATAAGCTGACCAGCTGAGGAGCAGATGTTGTAGGCCCATGCTGCCATAATCGACAAAGCTAAAGCTCTTTCTGCTTCCTGTGATGGACTGGTATACATCAATGTCCATGTTCTGCAAATTAGCCAAAGGCACAAAGTGAGTAGCATGTTGGAATAATAAGCAGCACTTCAAAGCTCACGGATTTAAATGCCTTTACAGAGAGAGAGATTGGGCCAGGTAGTAACCATGTGCGTAGTCTGCTTGCCATGTCCGCTTGGGAATCAACATCCAAGTCACCCTCAGCACATTGGGGCTTTCTCTACCGAGGGCACATGGTTCAGTGTGTTGGAAATATCTCAAAGAACTTAAGCGTTTCTGAAGTGTAACACTACACTCGAGGAAGACTACAAGGGAGCACGCGAGTCAACGGAGGTTACACGAGGGGGCGGACAAAGAATGCGAAAGGTCGCAACTGGAGGTTGCGACTGACCGTTACAGCATCATGGATGGTAACCGAAGTAGCAATCGAGTCGCTGTGCGACTCGATAAACCGTTCCTGTAACTGTACTCTACAACTGCTTTCTTATCTTCTATATATTGCTGTATGCTTGTTTCCTTAATCAATCACTTGTTCTCACATACTAGTACAAGGGTTCAACTGCCTCAACTTCCGCTGCACTACTCCAAGTCTCAAGTCTCTACAAGCTGGGACTTAGTCTCTGCAAAAGATCCTAAGGGTTTTTTCAGCCCAACATGGTATGAGAGCTGGTCAGAGACCAAACTCCCAGCAACTACGATCCATCAACAACCTGCAACTCAACTCAATTCAACGACTTCATTGATTACAAGACATGGACAGCAAGGGCAAGAAAGTCTCTACGGGCTCACCCAGCGCCCAAGAAACTCAACACGGCAACTCTGGTCTGCACACCTCAGGACTGCAGACAGAGACCGGGACTGCTCAAGAAACAACGGGAAGAGCACCGGAGATGGTGACTCCGTCTCCCTCTTCAAGTGTGGACCCGAATCTCATGGAGAGATTCTTCAGCTTCATGTCACACTTCGACCAGCAGCAGCAGACAAGGACACCTGCGCACTCAACACAGAGCAATGGAGGGAATATGGGATTAGCGCCGATGAGCCTCGACAACTCATCCTTCGGGCGACACAATCAAGCACCTACTTTTGCGCCTTATCACTCTTCACCGGGGACGTTCGAGTTCATGCCGCCCCGTGCCCAGCCAACAGCAGCTGCATCACAACAAACACCGAACGAAATCTTAAGTCTTCAGGCACAGTTCTCAGACGTAATTAAACTTCAGACATCCTCACCGTTCAACGGACACGACTTCTTTACCTGGAGCTTCGAGTTCAAGCTGCTGATGGAGGCCGCGCATCTTCTGGGATACTTCAACGGGTCCCTGCAATTCCCAAGCAACGGCACTGGGAAGGAACAAGAAATCTTCACGTATCAGTCGCTGCTGGCGTATACGGTACTCCTGAGAAACCTGTCACCACAAGAGCAGCAGAGCATCAGAACGTATCGAAGTTATGGAAACTCCGCGGAACTCGCATGGCATCATCTCAAGTGCCTCTATCAAGCAAACGACAGCGTGACACAAAGCAGACTCATGCAACAGCTGACAACAATACAGATGAAGACCGGGGAAAAGGCGATGCAGTATATGAGTCGCTGCCAGACCCTCCGCGACCGCCTGCTTCGGTGCGGAGGAACGATCACTGAAGAAAGCTTCGTGACACTTGTCCTCGCCGGGCTCGGGCCAGAATGGAGAACCACACGATCACTTCTTCGAGCCCACGGAAGAATTTCGGAGATGCACCTCTGCGCCGAGCTTCACGCTGAACAACAGGAGATGGATCTGTTCGAGGAAAGACAACCAAGAAAGCAACAGCAGTTAGTCTTCTACACTCAACGAAGAAACGACAACACCTACAATCGACGCGGCAAGCAAGAACGCGACAACAGGGGACTTACCTTCGTGCCGCCGTTCTGCCACAACTGCCAGACTTCCGGGCACTCCAAGGTCAACTGCAACCGCCCTCGCGTTTACCGTCCAGCAGACCTACAAGTCGCTTCCACTCAAGCAAGTCCTCCAAGGCGCTCTTCAACATCTGCACAACAAACACCAAACATCATCAATTGCATGGTACACATCGACAACTGCGCACCCGGATCACCACCCACCTACGCGCCAGACGAAGAAGAGCTGCCGCCACCGCGCTCACAAGGCCTTCAAGTCAATCCAACATATGCTGCGGTCGCCAACGCTGAACCCACTGGGCGAAACACCTGGTTCTTGGACAGCTGCTGCGGTCAACACATGTGCTCCTCGGGACGCTTCGTGCAACAGGAGAAACGCCTCAACCGCGACGTCGTCATCACCGTCGCCAACAACGAAAACCTGAAGACAAACAGACAAGGCGTGGTTCAGTTACAATCGATGGAGACAAACGTCATACTTCAGCTCAACAAAGTGCTCATTGTCGACAATCTGGGATACAACCTACTAAGCGTAAGCCAACTAATGGCCAAAGGGATTCACCTGGAGTGCGACTCCTACTCCAACGAGTTTCGACTTTACCACGGGAAGGGCGGCCTCTTCATCGGTCGTGCCCTCCTGAAGTCCGGCGTCTTCGTGTTGGACTTCGTCCCCGACCGCGGTACTGCCGACAGCGACGGTATCGTATCATTCGCCGCCTGGACTCACCCGCCGGATCTTGATCCCGACTTCGACAGTGACGGCTTCTGGCACTCCAACACCATACCTGCAGCAGAGAGAACACGAGCATTAGCAGTTATCAGACAAGAAAGACAAGTACCCGCACGTGTCCTAACAAAACCATCACCTGCAGTATCGGCAGCAGGACCCAGCCGAGTACCACCACCAGCGACACGAGGACCACCAACCGAAGCAGACCAACTTATGCCCGCCACACGAGAAGCTTGTCGAAGTCCCGCCTCGGTCGTCGCGTTCTTCTCCAACGCCGACATCTACCACCGCTCGCCTGGTCACCGCGCTCCCGACGACATCTGGCACCAACGTCTCGGACATCCTGCAAACAGCACGATACTTCAAACAATCCAAGCAGATGTGTTAGAACGCAACGCCCTTCTGACGACGAGCGGCCAAGAACTTCGACGACCACGCGCACGGTGCTTCACATGCCCCGAAGCAGATCTTCCTCATCAACCTTTCCCATCCCATCACAACCCAAGCGCACCTACTTACGCTCCGATGGAAAAGGTCTACAGCGATATTTTAAACATGCCTCGAGACGACACCGAAGCCGACTTCAACTACGTCATCACGTTCATCGACGCCGCAACAAGATATGTCTGGCACTTCAATCTCAAGACGCGCGATCAAGCCTTCGAAGCCTTCACAACATGGCTTCCCATCGCCGAACGAGAATCAGGACTCAAACTCAAGAGCTTCCAGTCAGACGGTGCACTGGAATACCAGTCACAACGCTTCAGGACCTATCTGGCGGAAAGAGGAATCAGACGCCTGGTGTCCCTGCCCTATGCTCACCAACAGCAGGGGGTCGCAGAACGCATGAATCGGACCTTGCAGACGACAATGCGAAAACTGCTTCAGGGGATGAGACTGCCAACCACACTGTGGTCCGACGCGATGACACATGCTGTTCACCTGCACAACCTGCTGTCCTCGTCATCACTTCCCAACAACGCATCACCGCACCTGTTGTGGACAAGAAAAAGGGGCAGCACAAAATTACTCAGAGTTTTTGGCTGCATGGTACAGTACAGACCCCACACAGCCCGAGCAGGACGCTTCACACAACGAGCTCGGTGGGGACTACACCTCGGCATCGCAAAACATTTTCACGCGTGGAAAATTCTCGACATACAAGACAAAAATACCGTGGCATCACGTGATGTTATCTTCTACGAGCGACTGACGCTGCAGCATTACCTGGACAACATTGCCAACACACAAGACCCCACCGACGGCTTCTCGGGACTTCGTTCCTTCGCCGACCGTGCTGCCGAAGCTGACGCAGCAGAAGAAGACGTACCTGAAGCCTCGGAAGCTGCCGGACCACTCCCATTCTGTTCCGTACCTGTTCCACTCGACGAAGACAATCCTCTCGATAGCAACAACCTCGACACCTTTTACCACTTCGCTGACCAAGGTTACATTACACCCCACCCAGTCGACACAAATGTTTCAGAACGCATCGGTCCCAACTTCTTACCTGACCCAGAAGACGGTGACGAAGCAGCTTATTCCGGGAATGAAAATTCCCCTCGACACACACCCACGGGACTGCAGATTCTAGGCCTCTGGGTCTCCGTCCAGCATCCGCCGCTGCCTTCTCCGCGAGAGCCTTCGACCTTGTCGCAGGCTCTGGGGGGGGAACATAAGGCGAAATGGAAGGAAGCGATGGAAAATGAGTTAAAGGCTCTGCAAGACCGGAAAACATGGAAACTGGTACCTGCAACAAGCATCAACGGAAAAAACGTCCTCTCAGGGAAATGGGTGTACCGCATCAAGACCAACTCAGACGGCTCCATCGAACGATTCAAAGCTCGATGGTCGTACGAGGCTTCGACCAACGATACGGGACCGACTACACAGAAACCTTCGCTCCAGTCTCCCGTCACACCTCATTACGCATCCTACTCGCCGTCGCGGCCACGAAGACACTACCACTACGCCAAATCGACGTCGCCAATGCGTTCCTATACGCACCTGTGGACGCTGAGATTTTCGTCGAACAACCCCACGGATTCATCGACGACCCCACGAAAGTATGCCGACTGACGAAATCCCTATACGGGATCAAGCAAGCCCCACGGCTCTGGCAGCAGCACCTTCACGGCCGTCTCGCAAAAATCGGATTCCTACAACTGCCGCATGACCAAGGGATGTACCGACTGCAGAAGGGAAGAGAGTATGTCCTACTCATCGTCTACGTCGACAACCTGCTCTACATCGGCTCCACTACCGACATCGCTACCTGGTTCGAAGGGGAGCTGAAAGAAGACTTAACACTCACGGTGTCCGACGAAGTGACCCAGTACCTAGGACTGAATGTCGTCGAAGACAACTCGGCGTTCTACCTACACGCTGGAAAGTACGCAGGCACTATCGCGAAGAAATTCGGACTGACGCCGACTACGATCCCGACCCCCTACCGCTACGGAAATAACAACAGCGCCTCCGCAAAACTCCCCGCGAAGCAAATCCAGGAGTATCAACAGAAGCTCGGCTGCCTACTATTCGCAGCAGTAACCTGCCGACCCGACCTG